TAATCCATCCGATCCGCCGCTACCGGCATCATCACAACAAAATCTACAATTTAGTAAAAGTTTATGGACATCCTCGGTGGAGTCCTCCATTGAATATTGTCGCATTGTTTGGGATCTCTTTCCACGCGGCAAGTTGATACGTTTCATTGTCAGTGATACGGCCGCACACATAGTGAATACATGGAAATTTGCCACACAAAATATGTCGCATGTGCTGAATGCCATGGCCCTGGTGGGTGTGCCACAATGGAATGCACCCCAATCATCGGATTATTCTGTAATACATGGTCTGAGGGCAGCCATAGAAGCGCTGGCTGAACCAACTGAACAGCAATTGATTTTGATGCAGAATCAAGAGGCCGGAGCAACAGGTTTGGAGAAAATTCCCAACAAAGGCAGGGTTATTTGCATTACATCGGCCCGGGACAATCCGAGTATGAAAAGCTTGGAAGATATTTTCCACAATGTCCTGCTGCAGCAGAACACTGTGGCTATGGCACAGAAGAAAATCTTACCTATTGATCATTGTCATTTGGTCATAATCAATATGGTGCCGATGAATAAGGAAACATTGGTAACGAACAGGGCGAAAAAAGATCTATCGCCATGTTTGTCGACAGAAATTCACACAACAAGTGCTCCCGAGATTTCCAATAAGTTGACACATTTGATAATGAGTCATTATGATTTGGCCAGTACAACGGTGACGGGGATACCCATGAAGGTATGTGTGCTGCATTATGGTTATATGGTTTTTAAAAATGGTCTTTTCAGGAGGAACAAAACGCCAATTCCAGCGCAAATTATGATGTGGAAATTCTACATGCTCGCAATGCCCACACCGCAATATGTGGCAATGAAGCTCTGCTACCCACTAGCATAAAAGAGGGGGCTGAATATGAAACGGTGACACTGAAATGGTGTACACCGCGCGGTTGTGGAGCCTCTGATATGTCAGCTTGTCCTCCGTGTTTGGCCCAACATCGTGTTACTCCCGTTGATGTGACAAGTAGGCCCTCATCTTGTCTCATCAATTTCCTGTTAAATGGTCGTTCTGTGCTGCTGGAAATGCCAAGGTAAGGAATTTTGTTTAAAAGATGCATTCTGTGAGATAAATAAAGGAGTTTATTTTGTTTTACAGGAAAACTGGCGGTAAAACCACCAGTCATTTGTTGTCGGCCCGCGGAGGAGAAATTTTCATACATGCTCTGCAAATTACCCGTTCCTGTCTGGAGGATCCGCCATCTATATCAGAGGGTCCTGGTGGCCGTATAACAGATTATCGCATAGCCGATTTTGCCGCCTTCATTAAAGCCCACCGTTTGGTGCCATTAAAATCCAAAGTCAAACCAGAAGACAATTTGCACATTGCCCGGGAACGTTTGTACAACAGATCGTTATACTTTCCTCTTACCCTATCGACGACAATTGTTTTCAATCTACAACGTTCCCTAGCCTGGTTGCCAAATTTTCTAAGGAAAATCGCCAAAGAAGATATGGACAAAACGGACGAAATACAATGTCAACAAAATATATATGATCTCTATACGGCCTCGACCAGAAGGGAGTTATTGCCATTTTCAAATTTGAATGCCAACAGGTAAATTTAGATTTTGTTATTCCAAAGAAGCTTCCTTATTCGATTTTTAAATTTTTCAGAATAAAAGGCCACAAGAAGGTGGATCAATATAAATTATTTTGTGCTGAATTGGAGGTAATCATAAAAAGTTGTGCCTCCACACCGTATCATAAAAAAATACTGGAGAATATACAAAATGTAAGGGCAGCCTGTGGTGATGCAACCGTTAAATCAGAATTGGATGCCACAAGTAAGTTATTGCAGTTGAAAATTTACAACATTATATGTTCATGTGTATTTTCGTAGGTGATCCCAGTGGTAAGACCATAATAAGAGCCACAACCGATTCCCCATTGTCACCACCGCATTCCATGGACACCAGCAGTTCGGGCACTGGTCATATATCAAAGGCAACTAAGCGAAATTTCAGCAATGTGGGCCAAAGATCCCTGTTTGATATTGTGTCAAGTGCTGAACGTTCACAGTGCAGTAAACGTACTGACTTTTCGGGACGTTTGTGTACACCGTTGGGTCAGGTGGCTAAACTTTATCCAGATTTTGGCTTAAAAGATGCTGATGGTTCAGCGACAACAGCAACACCAGTAAAGGAAGAAACGTTGGGTATTAAATTGGAAGTACCTGGCATAAGGACCTAGTTCTACTTAAAATTGGAAAGGAATTCTTATAAGTCTTTGGAAAATAAATATAAGTTTTTGAAAGCGAATGGATACTTAAGGGCTTTTACTATTCCTACGTTGTCGCTACTCAAACTTGTGGATTTTTCGTATCGTCATAGGGAAACATACCATTAATCTATTCCCACAAAACTGAAACTTTGCAGGACGTGTGAACAGTAACTTAGATACATATTTGAGTTTCTTTGTTCAACATTTTCATTGCGGCTTTGTTGTTTATTAAGAAAATTATGTCATTAAAAATTTAAAATTCAAAATAAAAATTTTGGTTATTTCTAAAAAAATCCTTTCTCTCTTGGAAAAAATTCCCCAAAAAAATATGTATCCTCCTCCCTCTACCAAGAAAATTGTACAGATTTCTGAAGAATCCTTGGCTCCCACCTATGGTAAGCCGAAAGATAATTTATTCTTTTCAAGTTAATTCGTCTCCACCCCTCATTTCAGTTCACTTTGTTGTTGACAATGAATATTACATTGCCACACAACAGGATATGCGAAAAATTGAAGATGTTCGTTTGATAAGTTTTCAAAAATTACAACAAAATGGCAATGTTTATCCCATTGATCCCCAGTCGGTGGAATATCTGCTGCAGGTGTTGAAAAGTGGAGCGGCAAATATAATTTGTGTAACAAATAAATCGAACGATGTTTATCCTCAACCTATGGATACCTCTCCGTGTGGTGCAAAATATTCCATTGAAGAACAATTGAAATGGGATAGATGCAGTAATACAAAGCAAATGCCTGTAGGTATATTTTTCATAGCTAAAGTCTATAATTTTTGAAAGATAACACTGTGCAACACAAAAAAATTATTATGAGGAGAGATCAGAAGATTATGAAAGTAGTGCTAAAAAAGAAGACACGCGTATGGGTGTTTTGAAAGTTTACATTGAAATGTTACCAAAATAGAGGTAACCTCTCTTGCACACTTTGGGCAGGTTTTCGGATTAAGACTTCTCGGAATCCCTGAATTTTGGGTATATAGTGTCTTTGGCAGTATTACAGATAAAAATACGAGGAATATTTTGCTAGAATATTTTAACCCTCAAGCGAGTCAACAAATGGGACTTTTTGCTCCTTTTCTTAAAATATGGTTAAAGACTCCCCTTAAATGGGATCGTAGCAAGACAAAATATTCCACAAAATGATTCGTCATAAAATTCTACTATCAGTCCTAGAATACGTTAAAACGTCAAAACTTAAAAATACATTTTAAGGTTAGGTCCGTACTTTGTGTGAGTTTGTGCAAAAATCTCCAACAAAGACTCATTTTAGAATGATGACGTCCAACGCTTCATTTTTTGGAGAAAGTATCAGAATTAAAATTATTCTGGATCAAATTTAATTGTGATTCTCTAAACAAAAGAAGTGTGTGTACCTAATATGTACCAGCATACATTTTTATACCCTCCACCCATGACACAATTGAACCATGCCTCCACCATAGTATGAAGAGTATATTAAGTTTCCCTTTGTAACACCTCGAAATATACATTTTAGATCCCACAGCTTAAAATTCTATGTCGATATTGCGGTGTCCGTCCGTCTGTGGAAATCACTCAAGCTTTCGAACGAAATGAAGTAGGTTGATAAAAAATTTTACTCCAATGTATATTATGTCTGCAGGACTTTTGGTATCAAAAATGGGCCGTGTAGGTCCACGTTTTGGTATGGCCCCCATATAATGATACCTCCCTATTTTCGGTATTTTGGTGATTGAAGCGACATTTTTCACCGGAAATGTTTTACATTTATTATTTGAAGTTTGTAATGGAAACTACAGCCTATGACAGAAAATTGTCTTTGCAGGTCCACGTCTTCGTATAGCCCTCATATAAAAGTACCTCGATATTTTAATCATTTTAGCGGCATTATTCACCGGAATTGTTTCAAATTTGGTATTTGGAGTTCGTAATGGATATTACAGCCTATGACAGAAATTTGCCTGTGCATGGCCACTTCTTCGTATATCCCTCATATAACAGTACCTCCCGATATTCGATATTTTTATAATTTAAGCGGCATTGTTTACCGGAAATGTTTCAAATTTGGTATTTGAAGTTCGTAATGGATTCTACAGCCTATGACAGAAAAATCTCTGTGCGGGTCCACGACTTTTTTAAAACCCCATATAACGGCACCTCCCGATATTCGATAATTTGATGATTTTAGCGATATTATTCACCGGATTGTTTAAAATTTGGTATTTGAAGTTCGTAATGGATCCTGTAGCCTATGACAGAAAATTGTAAAGTAATGGCTTCTGACAAAAGTTTTCTATGCAAGTCCACGTCGTCATATAGACCCTAAAATAACGGCAACATTCGGTATTTTTAGGAGTTTTTTTTTTTTTTTTTTTGAAAATTGCCAACTTCGTTCCAAGTGGTGGAGGGTAAATACAGCTTTTGTACTTGTTTTAAATAGAAAATCTTGTTTTGTCTGTGTTTTCTTTTTTCAACTCTACTTTCATAATCTGCTGGATTTGCCCCGTAAATATTGAAAAAAAAATGAATTTTGTAGCATAGTGTAATTTTTCACTCTATTCCAGTTCCCTTTTACATATTCCAAAGGCACATCTACCACGGACTTAATGGCATGTCTTGAAAAACAAACCACCCCAAAATGCCCGAAAAAAGTCTCATTTTCCTGTGCCACTCAAACGCATGAATCAATAACCACCACAACCTGTCAAGATGCCAGGGAACAAAGGAAACAAAAGAAGCTTATATCTTCGTACTTTTCTTAAGAACATACAAATGTAATTGTAAAATCCATTTCTCTATTTACAAAAAAAAAAACACATCAAGACTTTAACAAAAAGAAATAAAGGAAAATAACTTATTCACACGAATTTTCTAATTTTTCTTTGCTTTTTTAGGTTTTTGCTTTTGTTTTTTGTTAATTTGTTTTGAGGTTGTTGCTATGGAATTTAAAGAAGTTTTGGATTTTTTCGGTTGCATTTTTGTTGTGTTCTTTTTGTTGGCGGCCGCTGTTTTCTCTTCCTGCTCTTTGACGGCAAAATATCTTAGTTTTTCTTTTCTCAGTGCATTGTAAAATTCTGTAGATTTGCTGAAAGATGCTTTTCGAACACTATCAACGCTACCAATCCTTAGATAGTAATCTTTTAATATGAATTTGAAATCTTCTATTAGAATTTCCTTTTTGGCCTGAACCCTTTTCACATCACCAGTTGCCACAAAAGAACAGCCATTGACTTCATTTACTTTAAATTCTTTTGACTCAAAGGCATCGGGTTTCCAAACTATGGCAATTTCCTTGCCACCACAGGGATTGTAAAAGAAGGCAGCAAATTCTGAATAGGCTTCCTAAAAACAGAAATAGGATTGAGTTAATTTTTATAAAAGAAAATTGTTAACCTTTCAGCTTACCCTCAATTTTTGCACAGCATTTCTCATGAAATTACTATCGGCCAAAGGCATATGCCAATTGGGTTTTGTAAAGTCCACAAAAGGCGAACCCAATTCAAAGGTTAGGGTATTGGATACAGCTTCTGGCTTTAGTTGTATCACCAAATCGTAGCCCTCGGTGGGAGCTTTAAAAATGTGTACAGGTTTTATGAATGTTGCGCTGGTTAATAATGTAGATTCGATGATTTCCAAACATTGTCGGGCCAGCAGTGTAACACGAGCCAAAACATGTGTATTTGGTAATTGTTCGGAGGTCCAAATTTTACCATAATGTTGACGATCATAGGCCGTCACCAGACACAAGGGGGGAAACGAGTCTCTGTCGGTGCTGAATTTTTGTTCCAAATCGGGAATTTCAGTTTCTGTAAAGGAAATACAAATTTTTGATATATTCAAAGAATCTTTGTTCGGTATTCAAACACAGAAAGATTCCTTTTAGAGTTCCGCATCCCTCTCCCCTTTATCAAGAAATTTTCTGTGCCTGTTTAATACCATGGTTTGTGTTTTTTGTTTTGCACTCACCCTGCATGGCATTATTGAAATTGATCAAAAACATTTCCGTTTTCCAATCTGTGTTGGCCAACAAATGCAAAAATCTTACAAAGGACATTTGTGGTGAATTGCTTATAAACTTCGATGATGTCTTGAGGAATTGTGATGCCACAAGAAGCTCGGTGCACTCCTCGGGCCATTGACCGTCATCGATTAGTTGTGAATATAGCCAACGTTTGGCAATCATAACTGTGGGACCAAACGATGGATGACATTGATGTAGGGCCTTTAAGGCACCCGCCACCTTGGGTAGTATATAATGGCGCTTTTCCAAGGCAATACTTTCGGGACAGTCTACATGTGTTGTTATGCCTTTTTCGGTCTTCTCTTTCTTCAACAAACCCACCTCTTTGGGATGGGCAATTTCCAAATTGAAACAATAGCCTTGTTTCAAGACCAACACCCCATCATAGGTAACCTTGCACAGTAACTTGTGGTGCTCTTTTAGCAAGGATGCAATTTGTATGTAAAATGCAGTTTTCAAAGCACGCAGAGCGGCCAATTCTCCCGGCCATTTGCCGCTGAGACCTGGAAATAGAGAAACCCCATTTAACTCATCAAATCGAGAAAGGGAATTTCATGCCGAAACTTACCAAGCTGTATAATGCCATGCTGCACATTATTGGCAAAAAATTGCTCTTGTATACATCTGGCTTGCGGCAACACCGGCCGGGGATCACAATATCTTAGCACCGGCGATATGGGTGCAATCGACACAATTTCCAAGGGCAAATCTTTTAGGCCATTTAACTTGCGAGCCAAATCATCAAATTCCCTTATGACATGCAGGGATAAGGCCTCAGCATCGGTCTCCTGTTGAATTTTGTATTTACTTTTAAAGTTGTCTATTTTGAAACCTTTCGTCAGCGAATAAACCGCATCCAATTCCCCGGCAATATATTCAACATCTTTTTGTTCCAATTGGAAATGATGTTGCAGCAAATAGAGGACAATTGAACGTACAATAAGACGTTTCTTGGCCAAATCATCGTTGGCATTAGCCCATACCACAGATTCGGTAATGCTACCATCTTGGAAACGTCTCAGTTGTGCCTTTTCTCCCCAAAACGCACGAAATTCGGCGGCAGATTTATCTATGGATTCCGGGCCTTTATCAAGAATTTCATATGCATTTTCGGCATTTAGAATAAGACCCAAGTGGAGTTCTTGCAAGGCCTCTGAGGGGGATTCGTTAATGTTCCAGGGTAATACTGCTTGCTCCAGAGGTATTAAGAAATCCACTCTTCTATTTAGGCCTTTTTTCAAGAGTCTAGAATTGTGAAGAAGTCATTAGAAGGCTGGTAACTCTCTCCGGAATTATTTTACTTACTTGCTAATGGTCTCTAACAACAAGGCATATGTGTATCCCGCATTGTTATATTTATCAGCTGGTGAGACATGCATTTCCAATATCTGTTCCACAGCATCCGCTTTGTTAATTCTGCAAAAAAAAAAAAAAAAAACAAATGTTATTCTAATGAAACTGAATTTTAAAAGGCTAAATTACTTGAGTATGTGGTCCATTTGGGTGTAAAGAGGCACCTTCATCATAAACAAATATTGAAAACTGTTTAGTTTCATATCATTTAGCATGTCTACGGCCAGCTTTGCTTCCAGTTGGATGCGTTTGTAAACATCTTCCGACAAATTAGAGCAAATATTAAAGAATCCTGAGATGTCGACAAAAACTACTTTGAAATGGGCATGGAACTGCTCAATTGTGGGTTGGTTTGGGGTACTTCCGCTTCCAGTGCAAAGACTTATGCCCTTGTTCAGTTCATTCCAATTCGATAATGCTGGAAAGGTATTAACAATAATATTTAAAAAAGGCTTTAATTGAGGGTTTCACTTGGTAGCTTACCCAAATTATTCCAAACATTACGGGCCACCTGATAACTGCTCATATTATTGTGTAATTTCTTTTGTTTCACCAAATAGGCAATAAACATGGCCATAATATGGCAATTAAAACCACTATAGCCCATATCCAACTGCCTTTGCCTCAGCCAAACTTTCAGCAGCAGGAAACCCTCTTGGAAGTTCTTTCGATTTTCAAACGTTTCTTGTAATAATTTTTGATTTGCTTGCATTGTGAGATCAAACAAAACATTTGAGTTATAGCTTGGCGTGGCAGTGTGCACCGCCTCCTCCTCAACGCCATATAGGCTAGAACGTACATTATTGTTCCATGGTACAAAACGATTCAATTTAAAGGAGCTCTCATCGCCAGCAACAAAAATTCGAAAGACCAATTTTTGACTTATTTTCTTACCCGCCGATTCGGGGGGTGTTATTTCCAGCAATGGCTTCAAGGGATTATTTTTGTAATAGACAAACTTCAAATTTTCTGCTTTCAAATCGGGCACAACTTTGGACTCCAACAACTTTTGGGTCAGATAAGTTAAATAGAATGCTCGTTTCTGGTCATATTGCAGATTTAAATAGTTCTCTTTTTGCCAACAATCTGGCGGCATTACAACACAAATGTCAGCCTGCAATTGAGGTCCCAAAAGTGTTTTGGTATTACAGGCACCAATAAAGAAGGGTTCAACTTTGGGTTTTAAAAACTGAAACTGGAACAATTTTTGTTGTTCCACCTTTAGGGCAGGCAAATTAAGTGGCACCTGAATGGAGCTCTTTTTCAAAAACGACAATTTGTTCATATCTTCCTTTTCCGGCATATCCTTAAGGCCTTTTACAAATGTCTTAAATTGTTCCAGAAAACCATTGATGTAATTGTTGTATTTATCCTTTATCTTGACTTCTTCCAACATTTCTTTGATTTGTAAACGGAACAAATTTGAGTGGAATAAATTTCGTGTCTCCTTCAGTTTATTAATTTCTTCCAAGGTGGGCGGTTTAACTTTTTCACCCACAACGCCAGCTTTCTTAAGCTTTTTAGTATCTGGCTGTTGCGCTGCTACCTGTTCCTGCTTGCGTTTGTTGTTGGCTTTTTCATATTTTTTTGAAGGTTCCTCTTCTTCTTCTTCTTTGTCAGAGAAACCATCATCACCACTGCCATCGTCCTCACTTGCTTCCTGCTCTTCGCTATCATCGTCACTGGTTCCATTTTCAATCATGGAATCATAGCCCTCGGTGTCAGGTGTCTGCATTTCTTCATCTTCCGTTTCATCGTCGACCACAGCAATCTCAGCCTTTTTAAGTTTATTTACCTTTTCCTCTACCGATTTCAATGGCATTTTTCCACCCTTCTGCAGAAAAATACATTGTAATTTATGCTAATTATATTCATGGTCACATTACTTACCTTTTTATTCATATTTTTCTTGTTTTGTACCATTATTTATTAATTTTTCCAATAAAAATATGATTTTTTTAATTATGTCTGCCTGTTTCCCTTTGCACGTGTTGTTCACTGTTCTCTCACTGAGAGAATTGTGCATGTAAACAAAGAGATGCATTTTTGGTAGTAGAATTCTTCTTCTTTTTTTAAATCACAGTGCAATCCACAAGGGATCGTGTTACAAATACTCAAAGCAGATGCATTAGGTACTGGCATCGCCAAAATTTGTTTCAACACAACACAATTATTCCACATAATTTGTACAAATAATTAAGTTTAAAGAAACGTTTTTATATAATTTCACTCAAAACTAATTTTAAAATAGTGCATTAAAAATTAGGCTGGAAATACATAAAGAGCATATTTGGCTGGCTTAAGTCATCGGCTGGCTTCTTCGGAAATGAACAAAGGAGCCTAGGGCCAAAATCGAACTAAGTCAACCTAAACCTCTTTTGTTCATTTACGAAGAAGCCAGCCGATGACTTAAGCCAGCCAGATAAGCGCTTTATGTATTTCCAGCTTTAGTTGTTCACATAGAATTGTTCATTCTTAATTATAACTTTCAGTTTTTTAATTACAACCTATTTATGTATATCATGGTGTGATAGAATTAACAACAATAATCGACAACAGCAAAGTTTAATTTTCCTATAATTTATGAAATTTGTCGATAAGTTAGCTACGAAAACAAGGTTATCTCAAGTTTCAGATAAAAAAAACCCTAAACTGGTGCGACTACCTAATACAACTGCCTTGAAAACAATTTTGACATTAGAGCACTGCTGCGAGAAAAAACGTTCCGCTTCGTTATCTGATGTGGATGGATTCAGGGAAATCTGGAAAATGACTCCAAACGAAAACAAAGTTGTAAAGGTATTCCATATCTTCCAAAGCTTTTAAACAATTGTTATCATTAATAAAATATTTTGCTTTTTAGACCAATCCCGATAAGAAGTCCCTAAAGGAGTTGACATTCTCTGTTGTGGGCGATGATGGTGTGAAGCTTAACATTACTGCTTTGGTAAATATTGTTTTTTCACATCTGGGACATAATTTAATGGAACCTAATTTCTAGGATAAGTATTGGGCTCCGCGATCCATATTTTCCAACTATACCGGTCTGGTAGTCTCTGGTGGGCACTTTAAAGAGGGCGCTGCATTGGATGAGTGGAAACATGAAGCTGAAACTTTCAAAATTGATATGGAGTTCTTGCTGAGCTTAAGTCAACATGAGTAAGTCAGTCATTCGAATATTCCATGAAAAACAATTTAGTTAGATGAAGTGGACATGGAAGAATAAAATCCACGTTCATTTTCTCCAAATATTTCTCCTTGACTTATTGAAATTTATTGCACTTTTAGATTCTGGTCATATCTGTTATATCAACAGTCCGCCTTGGGAGCCATTGTCTCGTTTCTGCAAAAAGCAACACCATTTTACATAAACGTCTTCACCGAACTCCCTGCCACCGAAGTTCAAGAGCTTTATGAGTACATTCTTAACCTAATTTTACGCATAATATGTCGCGTACTTTCACCCAAGGAGTCAAATGAGTCATGGATAAAAAAGGAAGATTTAAAGATGCTGATTTATGAAAATTATCTTGTGTCCATTCCAATGCTCTTCGATTTATTGGTAGCCGTGGGAAATGGAACACAAGAAAATATCGATCTGTTAAAGAAGATTTTCGACACACTCCTATTGTTGCAACCAAACTATAAAAAGGATTTGCAACATGCCTTGACGTATTTTCGAGTAGCATTCCGTTCGATTCATACCCAAACGGAAAATGAGGGTTTCGAGGGGGCCGGTGGTGGTTTGCCCGATGAGAGTTGTGAAACACCCTTTGATGATGTGGTTCTCTATGCATTGGATTGTGCCTTTACGTTAAGTGTTTTGCTGGATGTATGCCCCGTTGCCAAAGAGATATGTCTGGAAATAAAATTACCCCAGGCCATTGCTAATTTCTACGACAATACCCTGCCGTTCCTCTATAAGAACATATATGTGATAAATGAGCAGGCAAAAAGTCTGTTATGGATAAATCATGCCCGTATACAGCTTTTGAAATCATTTCGAAACATTGCATATTCGCATGTCGAACGCGTTTTGGCGAAACCGTAGGTGTTTTTTATATTTTTAAATGTTTTTGGGGAGAATAATTTATTTTTATTTGCAGAGAGGCTGGTCTTTTGGCTTCGGAAGAATTTATTGGCCTCATGACGGAATGCCTATCCGAACAGACATTTGTTGTGGACTATGAACGTCATTATCCCATGTCAATGGATATGGATATTCTCAAACAAGCCTGTCCCGATTTGTAAGTATATTTTGGAGCGAATGTTTTACTAACTATTTCATTTATATGTTGGTTCATGAGTCTTGTTATATCGATAACGACTTTGGATAAGACACTAAAAATGGAAAGAATTTTTCGCATGACAGTTGGTCATATGATCCAAAACCTTTTCAGCCTATTCTGTACCGACAGCAGGGCAAATAGATAGTTAACGGATAGACATATAATCATATTTTTAAGTTTCTCTCTTTCTAAATTTACATGTTTTAATTCGTCATTTTATAAAAAGTTATTGACCCATCCTCAATATTTTTATTTGTCCTTAATCCAGAGATAGCTTTAAAGCCGATTTCGTTGTGGATGGCTATCGAAGAGAATGTGCCAGTGCTGCGGTAGATCACATAAATAACAACGACTTGAAACAAGAAATCTATAATGAAAGTCCCAGTCCAACCCTACCAACTCCTGTAGAAACTACCAACAATACGCCAAATGAAAACAGTAATCCCACGGAAGCCTCAGCAGCAAACCGTGACCTTGAATTGGAAGTAACAGTTGTTCTCGATTGTCTACCACATTTGGGTACTGGGTTTGTGAGACGCATCCTCAGTCGTTATAACAATGCCGAAGAGGCCATATCTGCTGTTTTGGAAAATAATCTGCCACCCGATCTAGCTGAAGCAGATCAAACAGAAGTCTATATACCACCTGATCCACAGGATGCCCTGTACAAAGAGACTGGTGTCAAACACTTTAATGTCTTCGATGGTGATAAATATGATATAATGACCCAAGATAATCCCCAATGTATTATCAAGCAAGGTAAGGGTATGCCAAATGCCCCCAAAAATGCTGCCCAGTTACTAGATGATAAACGTGATTTGGCTGCCATCAGACACAGATATCAAGAATATTCTTTGGTAACGGAGGGCGGTGGTGACGACGAGACCGAAGACCAGGAATATAACGATGAATATGATGACAGCTATGAAGCTTTGCTCGAGAGTGAAACACGTGTGGTTAAATCCAAAGATATGAAACAGGTATTGGCAAATGTTGCCGACGAATCGGAAGATGATGAAAATGAATCGGACGAAGAAGATACGAGTCAAAAAGAAAATCGTAAAAACATGAACTTTTGTGAAAATCCCGAAGATGTTCGAGCCCGCTACGAGGCCAGGCGCCAAGCTAAATGGTACAAGAAAGGAGTACCCACTCCAACGCCACAAAACTTCGATGTGGTTGGCAAGCAGAAGGGTCAAGGTCAGGAGAAAGATGTTTTGCGAAATCGTCAAAAGAAAGAGGCCAATAAATCGTCGAGAGCCAATCACAATCGCAAGGCTGGTGCCGCCTTTAAACGCAGTAAGGGTATGCTTTAAGTGTGTGCTGTTATATTAATATGATAAAATAAATATTTTAAAAATTAAAAAAACCGATTTATTTTATAGAATTCTTTAGGAACTATTGTGGACCTCAACACATTTCTTAAAAGTTAAAATTTTGGATTTTTTCAGTACTTCTCTGGGCATTATAGTTGTCATCTAAAATCATGGGAAATTTTCCAGGTAATAAAAGCGATTTTGTCAAGATTCTTTTTCAGGGACTATAGAGGTATAATCGGGACATCCAAGTTTATCATTTCGGGAATATGAGTTATAGATATTGAAAGAATATATTCCAGAGACCCCCAGTGATATAATCGTAAACTATTCAGGAACTAATGGAGCAAGAATTCTAAATTGTTTACATTTTCAGGTGACACCAAATGAATGGTTATGTTCTTCAGGGACTATTAAGTCTGGAATCGTGCAGTTTTTGAAAACATTTTTCAGAACTGCTCTTAATAATATTATTTTCAGGGTTGTTCAGAACTATAATCATGGTGTTTTTAAATATATTTCAAAGATTCTGTATTAGTAGACCGCTTGCCCTCCAAGAAAAAAAAAAAACATTTTCATTTTTTGTATTAAATATATTAATATATTAAAAAAATATTTTTCAAAACTGCAACCCAACTCAAACTATAGAGCCGTTTAAGAGTCATTGGTCAAAGAACTGTAAATGATTTTGGCGGAAGGTCTGTGCGATGGCTCTTGATTCGTACACAAGTAAAACAACTCCATTACCATATTGTAGTCCTCGCTCAATTCAAACGCCTGTGGCAGAGGTGGTCTTGTTCCATATGCCACCGAGGCATTCATCGAATCCATGCCCAAATCACTGTCTGCAAGTGAATTGTCCTCTTTACTTTCATTTTCCTCATCCTCATCGTTTTCCGTGTCATCCAATTTCTGTGAATGTGGTGGAATCAAAGCAATCGTCTCATAGATTATCAGGCCCAAGCTAAATATATCTGCCTTGCTATCGATCACATCCTCGTCCTGTATAATTTCTGGGGCACACCACAGTTCAGTACCCACATATCTTAAGTCTGGATTTTCTTTGAAATTAATTTTACCCTCCTTGTCCAAAGGCAAACTTACACCAAAATCACACAATTTACATATTTCAAAGCTGCCCTTGACCAAAATATTGTGCGATTTAAGATCGCCATGCAATAACATGGCTTCTGTGTGCAAATAATCCAAGGCACTGGAGATATCTCTCAACATTTTCTTAATGTCCTTGGCGGGCAATGCACCCTCCTCCGCATCCAAACGTTCTTCGAGTATGGAACCCAACGATGTGCTACAACATTCCAATGCCAAACTGTCAACCTCGTCATTTTCTTTTTTTGCTATCGCACGGAAACCCACAATGTTGGGATGATTTAGTTTCCGCAAAATATCGGCTTCTTTTATTATCCGTTGATTGAATATTTTCGAGTTTTCGCTGTTTGTTCGTCGCGTCCGTTGGGAAACACGTTTTATTGCCCATGGAGAACGCAATTGGCCACTGGGTTTTGGTGATCGTTCCAAGAAGTACACATTGACGCCTGTACCATAGCCAAGTGTTTTCATTAACGGAGATGCTGGTACCTGCAGAGGAGTGTTAACTTCCAGATGGAGATTTCTTAGAGGTTTTCGTGGTGTCTCCATTTCTGTGAGTGTTAATATATGCAAGAATAATTAGGAATAATTATTAATTAATTGATTTGAATTCGTTGGAAAGTGATTGAAAAGTAAAATGTCGCGCTTATATCCCAGGGATGTAAAATTCAGTACAATGGTACTTTTTTTAGTACCATTTCACTTCAAAAAGTACCTAAGTACTCCCGCGGGAAATTCACTACCATTTCACATAAGGTGTCTCCTTTATAATGCAATTAGTGTAAATCGACGTTTAAATAAGATCGCATTGCTTCATTCAAATTCTTACGACACCATTGGTCGTGCCATTGGTCGATAAAGGTATCGATATATGAAATTTTGTAAATCTAAATGTTGCCATCTTTAGTTAAAACCATGACAATCATGTGTTTTGGCTGAGGCATTTAAAGAGTCAATACATTTCCCAAGGAAGAACAAAATTTTGAAAACATTAACTCCCAATTTAGAGCATTATCTGATTATCCTAAACTTAAAAAATGTAAAGATGGTAATATTAGTGATTTTTGGCTTAATGTTAGTGTTATTAAAAACGAATTGGGGGAATTAATGTTCGCAGATATATCATGATTTGCCTTTGGTATATAATCAATTCCCCATTCTTCAGTGAATGTTGAACGAATATTTTCAATTCAAAATGCCACTAAGACTAAAGAAAGAAATCGTCTACAGCTAGAAAGTCTTTCTAATCTCATAAGGTCGAAAGATCTTCTTAAATCGAATAATTCTTGCTGTTTTGATTACAAAATTCCAGACAACTTCCTTGAGAAATAAGAAATTAATCATAAAAATAACTTTACAAAATTCAGAATGTTATATAAGAAAAAATGATCTCACATTTTATGTTCCTGGAAGGTATATACATATCATGGCAGAAGAATACAGGGAGTTGCATTAACGCTTGGGAGCATTGATATGTCAAAAAATTTAAATGTTTTTTTCAAATATAAGTGGATTTTTATATGTTTTCTTATACTACGTCATTCGGAGGCTATTATAATTCGCGTTTTTCAACAATTTTTACAAATTTAAATAATTTTTCATTCAACATTTTCAATTCCAAAATTGGTTTGGCAGTTCATTGTCCCAGCAGCTGTGTCGACGCGTCTACCTATATTCTTCTACCATGATACATGTGTACCTAAATACATAGGTGAATGCATGGTACAATGATATCAAGGTAGGGCTATGATACCATATGATTTCAATTTTTTTTAATTTCTTGGCTTAATATGTCATCTTTATTTGTTTTTGTATGTGTTTTCTTGTCAATAACAAAAAAAATCGTTCAGAAAATATTCAAATTCGGATGTTTTCAAAATGTTTATTTCATCGTATGCATCGACAAAATCTAGAGTTTTTGTAGCGAAATAATCCTTTAGAGATATATAGAACCTGGTTTTGAAAAGAAGTGTTGACCTTTCATTCAGTTTTCGCGGTTTTCAATTATTTATTCAAAATAAATGCAACAAGTTGTTTGATTTTATTATTGTTTTGATACTATTTCTGACGTTACAAGCCAAACAGGTAGACCTCTATACTTGCAATTTTTTCAAAGTTGACCTACCTTCTCTTCATTGTACCATGGGTGAATGAATTTGTTATGTTTGTTTTGTTTTGTTTGCTGAATAAAACGTAAAACGTTTTTTGTAACTCTAAAAAAAATTATAAAAAAGTACCATTTTATTTAAAAAAGTACCATTTTAGTACCTTTTGAAATTTTTGATTTTCCATCCCTGTTATATCCTCATTTTGGGAAACCAAAATGAAAGACGTCCCCAACGGAACAAATAAGGAAGCAAAAAGGAATGCCCGATAAAATGTAAAGAGAAACACTGCCCGATAAAATGTAAAGAGAAATAACGAAATAATATTTTTATGGCATGTTCACATGAGACCTGTTCAATTAGGGAATTCAAGGCAAAACACAGAAGATGGCCATTTTTCTTTATTCATAGGTTGGCTTTGAAATGTCATCACAGCTGGTGGTACAATGAACTGTCAAAACCTTTTCGGAATTCTAATTTTTTTTAATCGGAAAGTTAGCCCATCTGACAGAACATTTTAAAAATTTTGACAAATCAATGTTTCTAAGCAATGATGCACCTACCTGTATTCTCCTACCATGCAAAAGATGTAATTTTGATTTGAAAGAGACTCAAATCACAATAGTGCAAAAAGTATTAATTTTATTCTTAAAATTAGACTTCTTGGTTGACATTACATATCTCTTTATTTTTGCAGATTTATGTCATACCTGTTATCATCTGGCAGTTGTTTATTTGCCGTCAAATGTGAAAATTTAAATTACAGAAAAAATTCCCTTTTTGAAATAGAACACATTTTTGAGAGAAAATCCAGGCATCCATTCATTCAATTTAAAAATGAGGAAAATTATAAAAAAAATGAAAACAACTTGTTGTATATAATTTTGAATGAGTCTGACAGGAAGCGGGCATAGCCTCAGGGCTGTATTTCTGTAGTTTTACGAAGCAGTTCTACCTCCTTATTGTACAATGTTTGTATCATAACTTAAAAAAACTGTGTATATGTTCTGACATTAGAAAAATTTTATGTTAGCGATTTAAGCAGGCTTAATTCAATACTTACCATAATCAAAATATCCTTTACAATTATTAAAACATCAAAAATTACAAGTTTCCTGGCCTTTTGAAATCATAATCATTGCAAAATAATAAACTCATTACCACACATTAAAATAAAACTTACTGATGTTTAAAATAAAAATTTTAACTAAATCAGAAAAAATATTACACACTATAAAACAGACATATTTATATTATTTTAAATATCGTTTTTTCATCAATCAATTGAAATTTAATTTGATAAATGTATTGCAAATATTAGACTAATTAGGGTTTTTTGTTCGTATTTTTTATTTTTTTTTTTTGGTTTTTGCATTTTTTTATTATGTGTCTGCGGTCATTTTTTAATACGGAGTTGTATGTGTTTTTTATTTTTGTTTTTTCCATTTCGAATTTAATTTGGTAGTTTTTTTTTTTTCTGTAGCAGATTTAATATGTACTATATGTATATATTTACTTCATCCATTATTAAATACATAGTTTGTTTATATATTATGATTTTTTTGTTTTATTTATTTTTAAATTTATTTTTATAAATAATAATAAAAAATTGCTTCAAATTTACAATAGCATTTTTGTTGATTTTTTTATTTATTTTTTGTTTTGTAATGGTTTGTTGTTGTTGTTGATTTTTGTTTTTAGAGAAAATTTTCTTAATTTTTATGTAAACTAACATTTCCTTTCTTGTTTAATGTGTGTGTGTGTATGTGTGTTTTCAATAATTTTTTGTATTTTTTTTAATTTGAAAGAAGAGCATTTTGTTTTTGATGTTCATTGTGTGTGAGGGTATTTTTTTTATTTTATTTTGAATTTATTTATGCTTACAAATCTTCACACGAAATTTAAAGACGAAAATTATCGGTAACACATAACTATGTTATTTGCCAAAAAATATATATATTTATAGTCAAATCAAAGTGATGAAGAGAGAACTTAAAAATAATTTTTTTTATACAAAAAGTATTTAGTAGTTGTTTAAAGTAGACACATAAGCAAACATTAACTATAAATTAAAATAATACGGATCACTTAAAGATTGTTAGGCAATCTTTTTAAATAATTTTCTTTTAAATTAGGTTTTTTTCATTTTTCTTTTATATTAAAATATTTTCTTATTAAAATAAACATGACATAAAATTACATATGAATTTTAATGCACATAAGGCAAACGGGCATGTACATACATGTTTGAGAGTATTGCAAATGATTTTAGTTAATTATTTAAATAAATCAAAAAAAATCCCATAGATTAAAGTAATTTAATGAGAAATGGAAACGTATTTGGTGTCATGAAGTGTAATTTGCATTTGCCTAAAAGTATGCAATACGAATTGAAGTTAATGCCATAATGAATGTAATAACGGCCAAATTAGGAACTCATTTAGTCGCAACCCAAAAAATGAATTGAAATATTTTCGCGGCATTGTATTTTTCACTGGAAAACGTTAATATCGTTTTAAAGATTTTATATAAATTGATGACGGATTGTTGCGAAAGAACTTTCTTAAGTTGCCCTTAAATAAAGCTATTTAAAAGTCTCAACCAGCCAACCATGTTTAAAATACTCACCTTTTACATAACACCACCAGGTTATTTTCCAAAAATAATTGAGAAAGCTAAGGAAAAATTGAATAACGTTTCTATTTGGCCGTTGTAAAAATACTTACTGTTTACCTTCTTTTACTACTTTAAGTATTTTCAACAACTTAAAATGTGGGTGGATCCATGGTAGAAGAATTAGAGGTAGACGCATTTTTGAAGAAAGTTTTGACATATCAATGTTCCCAAGCGTTCATGCATTTACCTGTATTCTTCTTCCATGGGTAGACCCCAATTGAAACAATGTGTATGCGGTAGTTAAATACAACTCTAATATAGTACAACGTGTCTTGGGTAAACGGTAAAGGTTCTACCAGACGAAATGTCACATATTCCCTATGTAGAAGCTACACATATCGTGTGATACATGGACGCTTTTTCAGTCGTGAAATACATTAGTAACGTACATAGAGGGTGAGATGATTACAAAAGAATTTTGGTGAGAATTTTCCAGAAAAAAAAAAATTATTCGTGATGGAATTCAAGCGTGATAGTGTGATTTCCTTATATTTGGCTGGAAAACCACAAGTGGCAATCGTTAGAGCACTCCAGCATTCAAATTTGAATAAATCTTTTGTGTCTCGTACCATCACTCATTACCGTGATACTGATACTGGTAGCGTAGTCCGACATCAAGGAAGAAAACAGCAACATCAGCAGAAATGGTACGAAAAGTAAAGAAGCGACCCGCGTCACAGTGGCCCAAAAATGGCTCGTGAGCTGAACATATCGCAATATTCCATTCGGCAAATATTGAAAAATGAGCTCGGCGTAAAGTCATTGAAATTCCAATAAGTGCAAGAACTTACACCGCAAAGAAAGAAAATAGACTCAAAAGAGCTTCGCTTGTGAACTGTCCGAATTTGGTTTTCTCCGATGAAAAAACATTCGTTATCCAGCAGTTTGTAAACAAACAAAATGATCGTGCTTACTTGCCAAAGAGGACAGCTGAAAATGTGCACCTTCGGTTGGCCACCAGAACTCAAACGCCGACCATGATGATTGTGTGGGCCACCATAACACAGCCGATGGTCGCTCTCCGCTTGTATTAATCGACCGTGGCATCAGAATAAATGCAGAATATTATCGCGAAAATATTCTGGAGGGTGTATTAAAGCCTAGGGCACGCAAACATTTTGGGCGCATACCTTAGACATTCCAACAGGACTCAGCACGCGCCACCCAAGAATGGTTACAAAATGAAGTTCTTAGCTTAATTTACAGGGCACAATGGCCACCAAAGTCTCCGGATACCAATCCGTTGGACTATTGTGTTTGGAAAGCAAGGTTGGCACTAAAAAAAATACCAAAGTGTCGATCACCTCAAGCAGATGCTTCGCCGTGAATGGGTCAAAATACCGCAGAGCAACTATCGGCCAGCGTGTGACGGTTCCATTGGTCGTTTGAAGGCCATAATTCGTGCCAAAGGTGACCAATTCGAATAAATTTAAACTTATTCTAAAATTTGATGCTATTTCCGATACTTTATGTTTTCATTTAATAAAATTTAAAAAAAAAAAATTAAAATTATGGCGTTGGTACTTTTTCGGCCCAGTGTTCCTATTTTCATAGAAAATATATATACCGCGTACTAGAACCTATAAGAATCTACTAGTTTTCAATTTTCGAAAAGGAAAAATGGGTTTAGGTAGTAAAAAGTTTAACAGAGCAATGATTCAATCATTCACGGTGTTTTTTAAAGGCTTAGGGAAGTTAATAAACATAAATTGCAGAAATATGCATGAAATCTTTTATTGAATTGATTTTGACGGCCCACATAATTTAATATTTGAGGATTATTTCATGCAAATGTTGACTGCGACTAAGCCTCAAATGGTCCATTCCCTTAGTTAAATTTTGGCAAACTCTTTTCAACAATTTGGACAGTATATCTCACGAATAAATCCTTCTACGTTGTCTTCAATTCGCCAATTAAAGCGGGCTCGTCTCTACATGACATGAGTCATAGTCTTAAGACGTAAAATCGCAAGATCTATGTGGTCTTGAAACCCCATGTCAAAGCTCTTGCATTTCGGGCAAAAAAGTACATCATTCTACCATGAGCACAACAATCGTATGTTAAATGTCAATTTTGACATATTCGCGAAAATACACATGAGTAAAAAAAATAACAGCACATATGTAAAACATATTCCGTCTGAAAGTGCCATAAGCTTTGTATATAGAAACATCGTTCCCATATCAGATATCAACATGCTAAAATAATCTAGTCCCAAAGGTATTCAAGAATAAAAAGTATTGGAGCTATCAAGGCACTGAATTCAATATTAAATGTTATTAATAAATATTAAATGTTTCCAAGTGCAACATATCAATAACCTATGACATTTTTTATCACTAGCAGGACAGGTGTTGGACATTGTTAACCATAATAATTGACCAATCACAAAAAAATTAACATGTGGTTTCCTCGCTTTGGTCAATTATTACAAGTAATATCTTTAAAGAAATGTGTGTAAACTTGCTGTCAGGCCTTTGGGTATGCTACAAAATAATGGCGAAAATATGATTTTTTTATAATTTTGGTACCCCTCTTAGCAATTTTTTCTCCTTGGCTGGCATGTTGATGACAAAACAACAGCCCAAATCCATTAAAAATTTGACAAAATTAAATACAACCAACAAAACCAGCATCCCAAATTGCAAATAAACATTTCCAGAGCATAATTGCCGATAAAAGATAACAAAGCTTTGCTGAAGAAAACTACAGAAAGAGATGTTTGGAAAAACAAGAACTTAAATAAGTTTAAACATTTTTATAGAAAATTAATCTAAAACGATTTGAAATTGAAATGAAACGTGAGAAGAAGAAGAAAAGAGAAGAGGTGGGTGAGTGGATGATGTAAATATTTTGTGAAAATAGGGAAAAGTGATGAAAGAAATTGTGAAAATCATATCACCAAAGGAAACAAACTGACTTATAAATGAATGAAATATTAAGTTTTGATTTTTTTTGTTTAATAGGTTTCTTTTATATTTTCCGCTTTTCTGTTTTTGTTTTCTTGTGGTTTTTCTTTATCTTGTATACAAATTAAACTGTTGTTGGTTTGTTTGCCCCCTCGTAAAAAGGCTAAAGGTTGTTATTAAATTATATAAGTTGTGATTTGTTTTATCTTATCCTTTTTCTTTCTTTTGTTTTTGTTTTACTCTTTCTGTTTTGTTTTTGATCATCAATCTTTATCATTATCATCATATCATATAATTATATCATGTTATCAATTTTTTTTGTTTGCTGTTGCTGTGTGTTTTTGTTTAATTTAATTTATAATAGAATTATAATAATTTATATAATAACGCAAAAAAAAAAAATAATAAATTGATAATAATAATAAAAAAAAAAATAAAATAAAAAATATTTTGCTTTAAATGTGGTTGTTTGTTTCCTCTCTTCTTGTTTCGGTTTTCTTTCTCTTTTGTTTTATAATAAATCATAATAATAATGCTAAATTAATAATGTATGTATAATATAATTTTTATTTTTTATGGATTTTTTAATGGTTTTTTTTTTGTTTGTTTAACTTTAAATGTTTTTAAATTACAACGGAAGTGTCGGTGTATTAGTAGTTGGTGTAGGCGTCAGCATTGACGCGGATGGAGGATAACGCAACGTATGTTGTGACGTTGCCTGTTGTATATAATCCTGACTTGGATTATTTAGAACGCTATCCCTTGAATTTGAATGTGAAGTGGCGCGTAGCAATGTAACTGCTTCGCGTTCTGGACTACATTGGACACCATCTAGTCATTTTTGACGCGATGATTTCTTCTTCTTTCGTTTAAAGAAACAACAACATCTGTAAGGGAAAGAAAAAAAGAGAAATAATACCGTTATTAAGAAGAATTAATATTTCATAAAGAAAATCTATAAAAAAAAAAAAAATTATTTCACTTTAAAATAATGCGCTCTGAATAGGGATCTATAGACTTGAAACTGTGTCATTGAACAGAGAATAGGGATTTGTAAACGTGAAACTGTAAACAGTGCTGTCATATTTTGTTCCTTTAATAAACGTTAACTATGACAAAAATCGCTAAAATTACAGTATTTTTATATAATTCTGCATTGTTTCGCATAATAATAGTATAATTTGTGATTAAAAAAAAAAACACATAAAATTCAAAAACATTAAACTAAAAATGTTCGTTAGTGAAACAAATCACGAAACGTGAGCGAGTTTACACCAAAAAATAAAAATAACTGAAAAATCACCATTGAAATGAAACATGAAATCCGTTCAATAGGACTGGGTCAATCAAGGAACTTTTGAATTAAACATTAGAGTGCCAGGGCCACGTCAAAACCTAATTGGATAGCATTTTTTGACGCAGCACTGGTACCTGGATTCACTAACAATTTTTTCGCACAAATAATTCGGAAGAAGTTAGCCACCAAAATAAAGTAGTCGCTAAATTGCTGTCAATATTAATTTAGTTTCTTCGCTCATAATTTTACGGTTTAATTTTATCGCTACTTGTCGCTAATTCAAAAAATTAGAGTAAGAAAATCCCCGTTCAGAGTAAAAATAACTGTCTATTCGTTATCTAATCAAAAAAGCAGTTCTAAAATATTGTATGTTTCATCCCGCCATGCAACAAGTAGTTTATGTCACATTGATAAAAACGTAGAAAAAAAAAACGCAAAATATACCACATTGAGTACTGGTAACAATCGATAACTTACTTTGTTTCATCGACTAACTCGACTTCAGGCTGTTGCGTTATGGGAGTATTTGAGTGACCAGCAGTGGGATCGTCCGCATTTAATTCGCCATTTGTCGAACTCACAACCTAGAAATGGAAGAAAAATAAGACAAATATAGAGTATTAAAAAACAAATTGGAAAAAGAAATCCCCCTTTTTATTTAAGGAGGACAACGACAAGGAAACACAAGTATACATAATTGACATATAACTCTGAAAACGATTACAAAAGAGAAATAGTACGATAGAGTACATATTAAAATAACGGTGGTGTGGAATTTTTTTTTTTTTCATAAAAGAATATTGTAATATCTGATTTCTTGTTACAAATGCTGATTTAAGTGGAATATATATAGAAAATCAAAAACATAACCTATACAAAAAAATGTTTTCAGTTAAAAATGCTACTGCTTTTGAGGAAAGGAAGGCTGGGAAAAATATATAACCTAAATCAGCATTTCATAACCAATTTTTTCACCAAAGTTTGACACTAAACATTTGAAAAACAGACGCACACATTAAAAGTTAACAACAACAAACGGTAACAATAAACAATAACAACATAGACAGGAACATATAGAATCTAAAAAACAATGACATTTAATCTAAATACCTTGTTTTTATTAATATTTGTTTAATAATTTTCACAAATAAAACCCAAAAATTAAACGTTGTTTCTTTTTGCTGTCTCTCAAAAACAAAAAAGAAAACTATAATAAAACTTAAAACTAAAAATTATTATCTTTCTTTGTTTCTGTTGGCATTAGTTCTCTTGGTAGGGGGTGAAGAGAGAGAGGGGTTGGTTTGGGATGGTTTTGATGAATTTTATACATCAATATTCATAGCTTGTATCTTTTTTCGAATGATTGCTTGAGGTGGCGGTATTAGTGGGAGCAACAGCAGCAGTAGCGGCAGCTGGAACAGCAGTAGCAGCCTTAACTGATTTCTCTTCTTCACTACGGTATGCCTCAAAGGGACTATCATCGTCCGAACTTGAATCTTCGGGTAATCTCTAAATTGAATTTAATACATCGTCGAATTCATTCGAAAATAAAATTGAAATATTTTTTATAAACTGATCCTTACAACAAAACATTTAAAAACAAAAAATTAATATTGTGTTTCATTTCGGGTGCTTTGAGGGGGCATTCTTTAAAAATTGTATTAATAGCATGCAATTTTATCCCATAGTTATTAAAAAAAGGTTATTTTGAAACATTCAATAGGAGAAAACTGTTATACAAACAATTTTTAAAACATTCATGCATTTGAAAAATGAAATGAATTCAATTTAAATTATAAATGATCAGAGGAATAATGATTTTTTCCCTAACATTTCCATTAGTGATATTTTAGACATTTAGAATAAAAATGTATCGAAGTATTTTAAGAATAAAAGTAAAAGTATATTGGGATTCTCATATTTGCAATATACGGTGTGAACGGACTCGGTCCTAACTTATAATATGTTTACATTGTATTGGATTACGAAAAATCGAGTGGATTTAAATGGGCACCTCATTAAAGCCTAAAATGCTATGATTGTCATCGCAAATGAAAATATCAAATTACACTTTTTCATTTGATTTATTTTTTCAAATGTTTAATTAAATGTACGTCATAGCTGAGCAAGAAGGTATTTTAGTGCAAGCTGTCAATTTCTCTTAGTTTTTTTTGGCAAACAAATCAATGTCTATATAAATTATTTTAAAAAATACCTTCAATGACAATTTTAAACAACATTCATGTTAAAAAAAAATTAAAAAAATATAAAATAAAACGAAAAATGCAATTTTTAAACAATTTCTTTCTATATTTTTGTTCAGATCTGATTTGAATTAAATTACGCCAAAAATAGAAAACAATCGCCCTACATGAGAGAATCAATCAAAACCTGGAAGGTTACATTTTTAGAGAATTGGTCTCCTCACCAAACACCTACACTAATGGAAAGGTTAACTGTCGTGTTTAAGTGAAAGATGCCAATTAAAAGAATATCAACAAAATTATAAATACAACCTTATTAGAGTGCTGGGACATACTTTATATTCTTTTTCGAAATGTGATTTGTAGCTCTTCATATTTTACTTAATTTACATCCAATTTGAATCTAGTGACAATTTTGACTTTAGACGGCAATGAAAGTCAAGACGTTGATTTTGGGGATTTTTTCATAGTTGACAACGAAAATGGACGCATATTTAAATCTTCATGAATGTATCGATTTTATGATTTGTTTACGTTTGTGCTTTATTCTAAAGAATTGAATTTCTACTTTACAACTGGTCTACAAACAATCTACTAGTCGAAAAAAGGTGCTCTTAGTTCTGAAGCTGAATCCAAAATTTCTGCTGCTGATAATTGAATTGACATTATATACTACGAGTAATACCCTACACCATATAATAAGGATTTATCACATCCAAAAAACACTTGTTTGTTTTTTCATTTAATTAAATTTAGCTTAGATTGTTACTTTCGCACCTGTAGCAACCTACATTACAGGGATGACACAATCGAAAAATTCAATGGACAATGCTTGTGTTTATCCAAACAAGGTTAGTATTTTCATTGTTTTTATCTAAAAACGGAAATAAAATATTAATTGTTTTATTTCCAGATGTTAAAAGAAGAAAGATGTGAAGTGCCTTGCTACACAGAGACAATGAGATTTTATTGAATATAGGGACAAAACAAAGAAAGATAGGCAAAAAAAAAAAAACAAATGTGTATTAAGAGTGTTTATTACTGTACTCTGCCTTCTTTACACAGGATCAACCAGGTTTTTCTTCTGGTTTCTTCTTTGCACAGGATCAAATAGGTGTTTGTTCGGATTTCCATGTTTGATGACAACACGTGTATCTTCCATTTGCTAAAAAAAACCTTTCCGTGGCCTGTGTCCAATTAGTGCCCCAATCTCATATTTTGGGATTTTTGGAGCTTGTTAAGCCAATTAATGGAAAGTATGGAGCGAATCAGTGTTTAGTGAGGACTTCAGTTTTAATCCTCAACAATAAACATGGATAATTTTGAAAAGAAAGGATTGCATTGCATTGAAAGCAAAAAACTTAGGTGATGTTTAAACGTCAGGACTTTGTTTTCAATTAAATGATGTAAATGATCCCATGAGCATACACATTAAGAACTGCCATTAATATGGTGTAGGGTATTGATATTTTTCAAACATTTCTAACTAAGAAAAGCCAAATAGTAAGACAAATTTTGCCCACACATACACGCACAAAAAATGTGTGGGCCTTCACAATTGTAGGTATATAAAATTGTAGGTTAGATTCTAGAGTTAGATACCTTGAATGAATGTAGATTAAATCAAGTGAAAACATTATAACTGAAAACACCAAAAATATAAGAGTCTGTTGTCGTTGTTTTTTTGGTGTTCAGTGTGTTGTTGTAGGGGGAATGAATTTGTAGAAGTTTTGGATAGGCAGAGATACAACACACAATGTTTTATAGAATTATTAAAAAAAATTGGGATGGAAGGAAGAAGAAGAATAACAATAAAAAAAAGTAAAATGTTTTACGAAGGGGGAAACACGTTAAAGGGGGATAAAAAATTAAAAAAAAAAACTGAAACTGAACTGAAAAACAATTAAGAGACAAAGACAAAAATATGTTGGAAACATAACCTTCAATTTACAAAAATATTTAAAAATATTGTATTTTTGAAACATTTCCAAACAGTAATTTTTTTTGATACAAGACTAACAAACAAATAACATAATTATGAATATAACATGTTCTAAATTTCCCATAAATTTTGATTTTTTATTCCATTATATATATTTTATTTTTTGTTTTACAAAAAGAGCCAGAGAAAAACAACAAAAGGAATAAAGAGAGAGAAAAACAACAAATGATATTCGACACTCAATAACGACTTACCTGTACAGAACCATGCCTATCGGCAGGCGTAAGATTGCCCAGTGTAGCACCTGGTTTGGGTACATCTGGCCACGCGGCAACACCTCCTTTGGCATTTGTCTATGAGAGCGAGCGCACGCAAACGAAATTCATTGCGGGGTGGTATTGGTTGGTTGGTGTTTTTGAATTTTGGATGAAGGATGGATCAAGTTGGGAAAATGTCATCCACATATTGTAAAGGTTTTTGTTTTGAATTTGAAGATTTTGGTGTTTTTGTTTTTTTTTTTTTGGCGACAAAAAAATCGTTCATTTGAAAATGTACGCACCCATATTTTCATTGATGAAATCATTTATGTTGTTGCATTTTTTTGGTTTTTGAAATTTCATTAGAAAGGAGGTGTTGTAGTTTTATTTGAATTTTGTGTGTTTTTTTTTGAAAAATTATGAAAAAATAAAAAATAAATAAAATTTCTTTATGAGTTTCAATAATATTCCACATGACAGAAGGAAGGAAAAATATGCTAAATATTATTATTATTTGTATTCAGAGCATCTAATGAAAAACGGAATATTACAATGTATTGCTGATGCTGTTGTTTGTTTTGTCTCATCAAAATGTTTAAAAAGAAAAACCGTACAAAACCTTGATACCAAAAAAAATATAGGGAACTAAATACAAACAAATAAAACCGAAAAGCCAAACACAATTTCAAATACAATTTAAAAATCAATGGAATGGAGTGTGACAAAAAGCCTCAAAGGATTACAGCTAGCTATCGTTTACTTAAGAGTTAGATTCTTAGCAATACAACATAGGGAGGGAGATAGAGAGAGCCAGCAACGTTGAATGCTTTTAGAATGTATAAATCCTTTTTACTTCAAATCCTTTCAAATCACATTAGTAAAAGCGTTTACATAGATATAATACAATAATTTAGAATTATTTTATTTATAAAGATTATAATTTTTTATCCACCACCAAAGTCCAAGAATCTTCAAAGTATTTGTTAAGTATTAAAAAAAGGTTATGGAAAAAATTACCACGAGAAAACCTAAATTGAACTCATGTCGGCTGGAAATGCCAAAAATGGGACTTCCACAAGAATCAATTTCCAAAATGTCAATTTACAGCCACCATTCGTTTGGGGAATATGAAACGGGTGATAAATTCCATATTCACAGCAGATTTCTGGTTGGTAAAAATATTGTCAGGGTGAGATGAAAAAACTACAACCAACTTCAGACTGCTGTCATTTCTAAGCCCCTCGTCCGTCAGCTGTTAAAATTATTCCAGTGACAGCTCATTATATTGTTTACAAGCGTACAAAAGCATTTTGGTGAGAGAAAAACCACAAGTGGCTATGGTTAGAACACTCTAGCATTTTAATGTAAATAAATCTTTTGTGTTTCGTACCATCGCTCGATACCGTAATACTGGTAGCGTAGCCTGACCTCAAGGACGGAAGAAAACAGCAACATCAGGAGAAATGGTTCAAAAAGAAAAGAAGCGACTTGACCGCAACCCGCGTCGCAGTGGCCGAAAAATGGCTCGTGTGCTGAACATATTGCAATATTCCATTCGACAAATGTTGAAGAGCTCGGGGTAAAGCCAGAACTTACACCGCAACAGAAAGAAAATAGACTCAAAAGAGCTAAAGAGTTGCTTCGCTTGGCCGAAAGTGATGAAATCCCGAATTTGATTTCCTCCGATGAGAAAACATTCGTTGTCCAGCAGTTGGTAAACAAATAAAATGATCGTATTTACTTGCCAAAGAGGTCAGCTGATGCTGAATGTGTCCCTTCGGTTGGCCAGCAGCCATAAAAGCCGATGGTCGCTCTCCGCTTGCATTAATCGAGCGTGGCATCAGAATAAATGCCGAATATTATCGCAAAAATATTATGGAGGGTGTATTAAAGCCTTGGAAGGCCATTTTTGCTTTCATCCAATAAAATGAAAAAAAAATGACTTTGTTTCAGTTTTTTTATCTCACCCTGTATTATGCGAGTTATAATTATTCAACATTTTGACCATTAATGGGGGAGGTACCAGATGTATTGGGCCAATATATTCCATCTTCACACCAGATCTTGTGTTGATAGAAATATTTCGACGTGTGATGTCTGAAGAGAATTGGATCTTTATTTCGCAATTTATGAGCGTTTTGGTTATTCAAAATTTTGGCCCCTTTTTGAGGGAGCATTGCGCAGAAGCATTTGTCCATTCTATCCTTGGCTCATACCCGATCTTGTGTTGTTAAAAATATTGGGATGAACGAAATTTGAAGGCAATGGGGATTTTATTTCCCATTTTATAATAGATGGTTGTTCAAAATTATAACCCCTTTGTAGGGGAGGTATCAGAAATAGTGGTCATATTCCATATATCCATTTTCACATCTGACATAGCACTGATGCAAATATTAGTTTTGTAAAGTTTAAACAAGAATCGGATATTCCATTCTCTTTCTGTGAGGTAAATTATTTTCTTTGAAAATGTTGACCTTTTGGGGGAGGTAGAAGAAGGAATAAAACGATGTTTAATAATATTTTTAAGATATATCAAGTTTGGACGGAATTAAATACTCCCTCTCGATTTTGTAAAACATTTATTTAAACGAGACACCTTTGGTTGGTCTTCGAAGATTCTTACTTTTAAGATAAAATGTCTATTGGGTCCAACACCATTTCAATAGTTAGTCACATACAAATTATTAAATAATTGACTCTTTCAAAATATTACTATAGTCTTAAAATAGAATTTCATTATTATACAAAGCATTATCATATTTATAAGCACAAAAAGCATTATATAAACAAAAGTACATATAAAGGTTGAGCGCACTTAGGGGCCGCAGGAGGAAATGGAAAGAATGGGGAAAAAAGGACATGGACGGACATGTAGCTGGTTATTTTAAGCAAAATATAAATGGATACAAGTATTCTAGCCTATTTCAAATAACTAGCTAACTTACAGCTCCCCTACAATATAGCCACAAATAGAGCTAGCTAGTTGGGACTGATAATCTCAAAAAAAAATACTATTCGACGATTGTCTACCAACAACACAAACACCATAATTGTTCTATTAGGCAATTGTATATTAAGTTATTGCTGTTGTTGTCTTTTTTTTCTTGAATCTAACCTCCAAAATTATATATTCTTCTTCATCGTCATCATCATAATCAAAATAAGAACCCTCCTTTTGAATATGAATGTGAAAAATAAATAAAATCCACACAAAAAAAAAAGTAAGAGGAAGAAGAACAAATTATTACATATTTAGTAGAAAAGAAACAAATAGAATAACAACAAAGTAACCAAAATACAAAGTAGTAGAAGTTATATAAAAAAAAATATTTGTATGTATATAAATATAGATATATAACCCAAAAAAATAGTAAAGTAAAGTTTGTTGTTGTGAAGAAAAAATATAAATACAATAATTGGTTTGGTTTTAAATCAAGTACATTATTACAATAAATAAATGTTGTTTATATATATATGGTTTACTAAATTATGAATTTATGGTATGTATATATAGGATATATGTTTGATTTAAAGTAGCAGTTTTTATACATTACCTTGCCCGTTATATTATGACGATCTTTATTTGGTGAAATGATAACTTCATGACCCGTCTGTAATGAACCAACCGGCGTTGACTGCAGATGTTCCATTTAGTAGCAAGTGGTGTTTTTTGTTGCGTTTTAAAAAAGTGTTATATGGCCACACACAGATAGGCAACATTCATTTGGGATTGACATCACACATCGTACACGTATAACACATATGGTTGTTGATAGCGGTTGTAAAGATGAAACACACAAGAAAAGAAAAACAACAAATTATCAATTGAATAAAGAAGTTGTAATGTAGTCTTAAAAATTTCCCATAGAATTATGAGTATATTGGAGCACAAAATAAGAAAATTCAAGATTTTTTAGAAGGATACAAAATACACTAGCATAAGAAGATGGAATGTATTCTATAAAAGGAAGGAATATTATCTTTACATACTGACAAGTATGACCAGAAAAGGAATGTATTCTGTATAAGGATGGGATATTATCCTTGCATACTGACAAGTATTAACAGAAAAGGTGTTCTAGACACCCAGCAAAAGTCGTGTATATTAGACCTATATAAAATCTATAATTTCATTAAAACATAATCTTAATAATAGCTGCTAGAGATGCTATAACTTATAATGTCAGATTCCTTTTCTGTAGTGACTTATAGGCAAATTTAATGCAGATGCTTTGTCGATATATAATGTAAATTTCGATTTCATGTCTTTGGTGACTTATAGTGAAATTTTAGGTAGAATATTTTGTCTTTGACGTCTTGTACGTAAAATGATGTTTTATGCAGATATTTTGCATAAACTCAGAGACTTCGTTTTTATAACACCTAAAATCAAGCGTCAATTTGTAAATAAAATATGGAAATTTCTTATTCCATTTTCATAAAAAATATTATGCCTAGATATATACTTTACTCTGAGACATATAGCGGAATTTTGTGTAGAATATTTCTTCTTTTTACACTGTTCGTCTGTAACTAAGTTTGACATTACTTTTACGCATCAAATTAAAAAAAGCTTTTTCTCGTTAAAAAAATTAAAATTTTTTTGTTTTTCTTTCGAAAAATTTGAGATGGAGTGCGACTTGAAATCTAAAAACAGTAAGGGGCCGACTATATGATACCCTACACCACTATGCATATTTAGTAGAGCTCCCGTAACAAAAGAATTTATTTGAAGTAGATCATACCTATCAACATTTGGCTTTAGAGCAGTTATAGTTCGGTTACAGAGGGAACTAATATATGGGAGGCATATCCAATTCTGAATCGATTTTCACTAAATTTGACGGAGACATTTTAATCTTTTATACCAAATAACATTGCTATACAGAGAATGATATCACTTCGAGAAGGATTATATTCAAAAAAAATCTATATATCGAAGCCGAGTTCCACAAAATGGAAACATACGTCCCTAAATTCACTCCATTCGGGCTGATTGATATTCGCCATTATTTGCACAATAAACCTGAAATCGGAGTAAGGATATATATGGGAGCTATATCCAAATCTGAACCGATCTCGATAAAATTTGCCAAAAGTATTTCTTAAATACCAAATCGGATGAAACATATATATGGAAGCTATATCTGAACCGATTTTGATGCACTTGCTTCTAGACTGAATTCGGTTGGAAGTGGCAAAATGCAGGTCATTTGGACTTATATTGGCGATTTGCTGCACACCTAACCCGTAATCGGTTGAAGATATATATATGGGAGCTATATCCAAATCTGAACCGATCTTAATAAAATTTGGCAGAAGTATTTCTGGGCTGTATCTGATATTTGATACCAAATATAATTGTTGTCGAATGCATATAACGAATGTAAGGGATTTAAACACCAAATCGGATGAAACAAATATGAGGGAGCTAAAACTATATCTGAACCGATTTTCACCAAATTTGATTTACTTGCTTCTAGAATGAATTCGGTTGGTTGTGCCAAAACTCAGGTCATTTGGACTTATATTGGCCATTTGGTGCACAATTAACACGAAATCGGTATGGGTGCTATATCTAAATCTAATCCGATTATCACCAATTTCAGTAGGTTTCGTCCTTGGGCCAATTGGATAATAAATGCGAGCTGCATTTTGTTCACAAGAATACATGGACAGACAGACGGACGGATATACAGACGGACTGACATGCATAAATCGACTCAGAAAGTGATCCTATGAATATCCTCGAAAGTATGTGGTGTATGGTATAATGAAATGATGAACAATTTTGCAAAATATTTTGATCTGATACGTTCAAATCTAAATGGAGTTTTGAAAAGTTTGAAGGAAATAACTTAAAATACAGCTTTACTAACTCGACTTGCCAGAGAAACCTTTATGCTAAAACTGAATGGATTCTAACTAATAATAATCGGAATATTTTGAAAAATGTAAGAATGGTCGGAACTTCACCTTTCCCAATTTGCTTACCTCCCAATGTTAACTTTCCATAAAAAAACAAGTAAAGTATTCTCCGAAAAGAATACAAGTTTATATATTAGCAGCGAATCTAAACTCTAAATACATAATGTCTTCTAAATAGAAGGCTAGAATTTCATCCCTTAGAAGACGTATAGAAAATTAGTAGTTCTTCTTTTGCAAGACAAAAAAAAAAAACTTCCGAATAGAAGATCAGATGATCATCTGCTCTAAATGACTAGAAGGTGTTCTATTAAATTCTGAAATTAAAAAGTCGTTTGTATTTATAGGGATATTCCTAGTAGAACCCGTGGGGGAAGTTATGTTCCTATGTGGTGTTATACATGTCTTTGTATCTTCATAATTTCATTTTCTTATTTTGTGAACCAATAAAAAATTACAGCTATAAAATATGGAAATTACATTTCATTTAGCACTCTTCATCACTAGCATACTTTGCAGAGAAGGCAGTTTTGAGCTTTTTTACTATGTGTAGAGCTATGACATTTTGTATCTTACATACATACAACAACAAAAAGTTAACAAATTTTAAGAAAAAAAAAAAAAAGAAAACAAAAGAAAAGAAAGGAAAATAACAACATAAAAATACCTTATCCGATTTGTTTTTGGCTAAATGAGAAGGTGGTGCATTTTTAATTGCTTTCATTTGTTCAAGTTGATCCTTGCTCTGTGTGAGATGATAGATGGGCAAGACATAAACAAGAATTTTGTAAAAAATATATATATAAGACAAAATTGAACATAAAATATAAAATAATTGAATTTTTTGTAGAAATTAAAAAAGAATTTTGTAAAACTTGAGTTGTAAATCCAATTCGTTTGCCGCATTTGCTTTTAAATGTATGCATTTTTTCCTGTTTATTGAAGGGTTTGAATGAAAAAAAAAATGTGAATAAAAATATACAGAAAGAAAGGGGGAAATAAAGGCGAGAGGAAAACAAATTCGAATCTTTGGAGAGTTCTTTTCAACTTCAGGAATTGTGGAAATTCTCCTTCTCCTCACATTTTGGGGGTTGGTTTTCAAACAAATAATATGGATATCTTGACAAATATGTAATGAAATATTTTAAATTATTAGTTTAAATAATAAAACAAATAAAAAACTAAAAAAAATACTTCACACCTTCTGAGAAATTGGGTAAAGGGGTTCAAGTAAATAAGGGAGCGGAGTTAGTTTCACATTCAATATCTTGAGATTCTTCACAAAATGCATACATTGTTCATTCAAGCATTCTCAACTTTAAATTTTCACATTCACACCGGCTGTTATTCATATTTCTTTTTTGTTTTGGAAAATTTGTCTGCCATACAAAAAATATGCCATGTCATCATTCTCTTCAAAATTCATTTTCATAGGTCATTCGTTACTCATTCCAAAATCCATTGACAAATTTAATAAATTAACCAATCAATCAATCATTCATCAGGTTAGGACTGTTTGACGTTTACTGACCATTGTCTTCCCTGTCCAGTCAAATTCACCATCATCCACATAGCCTTTACGATCGAATAAGTCTTGGAACAGTCTTCGCAGAAAATCATAATCGGGGGTCTCAAAAAAATCTAGCCGCCTCACATAGCGTAAATATGTGGCAAATTCTTCGGGATGGCCATCACAAAGTACCTGAGGGTAAAGGCATAAAAATATTTATTAATAAAATAATTAAAATAAAAAATTAAAAAATATGTGATGCTCTTACCTCAATGGGTGTTGCTCGTTTGGTATCGCCAATTTTTTGATATCTTTCCTTAAGTGTATCGGCCTTAAGACCTTGCCATGGCAGTGAACCTCTTAAGAAATACATGAACATATGACCTAATGCCTCTAAATCATCACGTCTCGATTGCTCTCTGCCCATGTGTGTGTTTATAGACATATATCTAGCAGTACCCGTCAGGGATTTGTGTTCCCGATATGGTATGTGTCTATTTGTATCTAAATCAATATATTCTTTGGCCAAACCGAAATCTGTGAAAAATTAATAGAAATACAAAATAAATTATTAATGAGAAGAGAAAGTGGAGAAAAAAGGAAAAAACAGTTCGTATTTGTTCCGGATATTCGGTATTTTGATGATTATAGCGATATTATATGTCGGAGTTGTTTCAAATTTGGTATTTGAAGTTCGTAATGGATACTACAGCCTAAGACAGAAAATTGTCAGTGCAAATCCACGTCTTTGTATAGCCTCCATATTATAGTACCTCCCTATATACGATATTTTGATGATTTTAGCTACATTATTCTCCGGAATTGTTTCATATTTGGTATTTGAAGTTCGTAATGGATACTACAGCCTATGACAGAAAATTGTGCAAATCCACGTCTTCGTATAGTCCCCATATAACGGCACCTCCCGATATTCGTTTTTTTTTTTTTGATGATGTTAGCGACATTATTCACCGGAATTGTTTCGAATTTGGCATTTGAAGTTCGTAATGGATACTACAGCCTAAGACAGAAAATTATCTGTGCAGGTCCACGTCTTCGTATAGCCCCCATATAATGGTACCTCCCGATAGTCGGTATTTTGATGATTTTAGCGACTTTATTAACCGGAAATGTTTTAAAATTGATATTTGAAGTTCGTAATGAATACTACAGCCTATGACAGAAAATTGTCCGTGCAGGTCCACGCCTTCGTATAGCCTCCATATAATAGTACCTCCCTATATTCGATATTTTGATGATTTTGGCTACATTATTCACCGGAATTGTTTCAAATTTGGTATTTGAAGTTCGTAATGGATACTACAGCCTAAGACAGAAAATTGTCTGTGCAGGTCCACGTCTTCGTATAGCCCCCATACAACAGTACCTCCTGATATGCGGTATTTTGATGATTTTAGCTACATTATTCACCGATTTATTTATTTCTATTTATTTATTTATTTATTTATTTTTTTTTTTGAAAATTGCCAAATTCGTTCCAAATGGTGGAGGATATTCAAAGTTCGGCCCGGCTGAACTTACAGCTTTTTTACTTGTCATTTTTATAATTATTAATTATAATATAACAAACTTACCAATTATGTGGATAATTTTTTCTCGTCTCGTTGATGTTCTGCCAATAAGAAAATTTTCTGGCTTAACATCTCTATAAATTAGGTGCCGACTATGAACATATTCGATCCGGTGGAGCTAAATGTTATTACCATATAAAAAGTAATATAATAAGAAGGGAAGCAAAAGAACGAATATTAGTTAAAATATATTAATATTTTTTTTGAGATTTTCATGTTTGTTAGTAGTGTGTTGGGTGAATTGATAACATACAGAAATGATCGATGTTTAAAATATTGATTTTGTTTATTTAAGAAAATGTTGTAAAATTAATATCACAATTACAATTTGATGGACATTCGCAACCATTTAATACAATTTTCATTTAATTTTTTTCATAAAATATCTCAAGAGGTTACGAAAACATCTTACTTTGTGAAATATCTTGCAAATGACATATGTTGGTATAAAAACGATAATTTTTCTGCCAGGTTATAATTAATCGTGTACCATGGTAGAATAATATAGGTAGTCGCATCAACAGAGATGCTGGGACAACATTATTGACATTTGTAAAATTTTTTGAAAATGCATATCATTTGAGTCGTATAAGAAAACATATAAAAAACATATTTTCGTCAAATATTTTAAAATTTTTGACATATCAATGCTCGCAATCATTGATGCAACTACCTTTATTCTTCTACCATGCCGTATAGAAAAGATCACAATGACATTGACGCTGAGTTGCCACATGGCGCATTAATGTTCAACTGTCATACGACTATAAAATGTATAATTATCTTTAAGAGTGTGGTATTTAGTTATAATATACTCATAACAAATGTTTTCATGCATCATTATTGGTGTAAAACCGTAAAATTGATGCCGTGCAGCCACATGTCAAATCATTGACATGACAGACAAGTGGTTGCAAAATGACACATCCTTGCTATGTAAAATAGCCATATTTGGTGTAGAAACGGTCATTTGAATACTATTTGCTGTACTACTGACCGCATATGTCACAAATTGGCTAATTTAAAATTTCGTTTGTATCAACTTTTCTAATATTGAAGCTGTAAGGGCAACATTTAAATCTAAGCTTAATGCAGAATTAGACCTTTGAACCGCTGTTTGGCAGTGACATCAAACCTTTTGAAATTATAAGCAACTGCTGTTATCGAGAATTGTCGATAACTCTGCTTGATTGGCACAACCAAACGCTGATTCCTTTCCTCAGCCTCAGCATACTAGGGTAGCGTTTTATCTATGATCTTTCTCGCAACACATCTCAAGCATGTTTCGTAAATTAATTCACTTTCAAATGCATCTTCAGTTTGGTCTACAATTTAACCCTGAATTTTAGTACAAACGAACATCACATTTTTTTTTTTTTATCAAAATGCATGCCCTTTTAAGAAAGCTCATCGCTCGCGCTTCTTGTGTTCAGGAATGAAGCTCATTTTTGCTCAATGGGTACGTAAATAAACCAAATATTCGATTTTGGAGTGAAGATCTGCCAAAAACATTGCAAAAGCTATAACCGCATCCAGAAAATGTGACAATTTGAATAGATTTATGAGCTAGTATTTCTTCAAAGATGCTGCTAATCATAACGTAACTGTTAATGGAGAGTGCCACCGTGAGATAATATCCAACTTTTTTGGCCCAAAATGGTTATGTGGACCAAACTATCAATTCAAAAAAAAAATCTCATGCATTTCAAGTTTATTTTATTTTATTATTTTTTTTTTTTGGAAAAACTTTCCTATTGCGCCAAAAAAAAAACAAAACACACACACAAGTGTGTAGTCTTGTTATTATTTGGCCAGTCTAACGCATATTTGAACGAGTTTTATGTGTGTGTGTGTTTTTTGGACAATACGACGTGTGGTGAAACAGTGTAATATATTTAACTACAAATTTGTTGTATGGCTGGGCCACTTTAAAAATTTTTTATTGGCGTTACTCTCAAGTGAGAGACATTTAACGGGACTTTTAATACAGCTACATATTTTAAAGTGCGTGAATAACGGTTATAGTTTCTATGACGCCGGTGTAACAACGGCCATTGTCTAATAGCATGTTTCGAAAACTTTGTCACAAAAATACATGTATGCAAATATCAAACGTGTGGCCAAAAATTGTAATTATATTAAAAATTACAAATTTGATGTATGACTGGGTCACTTTATAAATGTGTTATTGTCGTCACTCTCAAGTGAGACACGTGTATACAACAGTAACGGGAGTTTTAATACAGCTACATATTTTAAAGTGCGTGAATAACGGGTATAGTTTTCTATGACACCGATGTAACAACGGCCATTGTCTAATAGCATGTTTCGAAAACATTGTAAACAATATCACAAAAATACATGTATGCAGTTATACTCTCTCTCTCCCAAATATCTATGAAGGTTGTAGAGGGGGAGAGTTTATTACACAAGTTCAAGTGGCAGGTTTGGGATCAGTGAATTGTCAATGACACCCTTTTTACCATGTTTTTACAATTTTTACATCGTTGATTTGATAACATAGCCATTTGTTTTCAAATGTGTAATGAAATGAATAGAAATATTACTACGTCCTTAAATTATATAAACTATTTTTCGATTAAAACTAATCGAAGACGTTTTGATTGTTAACAAATTTATTATTTCATAAAAATAATATTTTTTTGAAAATATTTTCCTTCAAACATCAAATCCATTTCTGTATGTTAATCAGATATGTTGGGTATGGATATGTATCACAGTTATATGTCTCAAACATGCATGATCATGTTTTGTTTCGTAGCTTAATAGCTCAATAGCATAAATTGTATAGAAAATAATTTTGTTTTTAAAGAAAAAAAGAAATAAAAAAAGTGTCTCAACTAGCGTAGTACTTCGTATGTTTTTTAAATACTCAAACATATTTGGATATTTGATCATGATTTTCAAATAGATTTTCAATTAATTGATGATGATTTCGTTCATTTTTTTAATTAAATGTAAATTATTATTTACTTTTTGTTGGTTGGCACTAAAAAGCAAAATATTATAAAATTAAAAAAAAAATTAAAAATAATTCAAAATAAAATTAAAAAAGAGTATTCTATATGTGTTGCTGGTTTGTGATAGATAGGAAAAAAAAGACATGCTTACAACAATTATGTTTAATAAAAAACCAAAATAACTCATAATCTTTGTGGTGTTAAAAAAAAAACGTTTTGTGTTCTAAAACATTCTAATAATGGTTTATTCTATTTTGTTTTCTAAAATAAAACTAGTGATGATATAAACAAAAAAGTAATAAAAAAAACCTTAACCATTTGTTTAATGTATTGTTTGATTAATATTCTTCAAAGGTTAATAAAACAAAATGATATAATGTATGGTGGTTTCTTGGGATTATTTTCAAACAATGATGACAATTTTATTAGATGAGTAGAAAAACAAATGTATTCAAAAAAAAAAAACAAGAATAAAAAATATAATATAGGCCAAAATAAGTAAAAATAGGATGGTGATCCTCCACAAACAGATACTTCTGGTAACACATGGTCTGAAAATTTGTCCAAGGGTAAGGGGAAGGAAGATAAAGTTCCAGAATAAAATCAATGTTGGTCAGACAACCTTAAAAACAGCATTTATTATTTATTTAAATTATTAAAGCATTAAAAGGACCTACGATTTTCGTTTCCTGTTGATGGGTCAAAAATAATTTTAAATTTGACCTGATTTATCCATTATTTAAGGAAGACAAGAAAATTTGTTAAGTGGCCAGACAGCCTTAATATTTACTCTCACATACACAATAAACTGTTATGAGATGGAGAAATATTAATATCAGTCATGGAAAAGAGATTAAGAGAGTCCGTTATGAGTAACAGCAGCAAGGGTTGGGAATTTAAAATTAACAATATTGATATTTTATGACGAGATTTTGTCCCTGATCCTAAAAATGAATAAAAATTAATAACTGCAGTCTATTCCTGAGCAAAGGTGTTAAATTATATGAACAATTATAGAAATCATTTAAAACGGCGTTTGTCGACCTAGCGAACCCTGGACTTTTCTTGCTTACAAACCATGTGTTATTTGCAGTAGTTCGTTTGGAGGGGGGTGATTTGTTAGGCTGTGTTTTTTTTTTTATTTTCTATAATTTTCATTAATTTCTGTGTGTTTGTTGTTGTTTTTATTTTTCGATTAAATTAATGAAAAAAATATTTCTTATTTTTTTTGTTTTTTTTTTGGTACTTACTAATTGTATAGCTATCAGTAGTACTGTCTTCAAAGTGAAACGTCTGCCGCAAATATCAAATAAATCTTCAAGTGATGGACCGAGCAATTCCATAACAAGAGCATTGTACTTGCCGCATGGTCCGAAGTAATATACTTCGGGTACACCTTCTGCTACAATAATAATAACAAACAAAAACAATAACAACAACAATGGATTTGGATTTGTGTCAAATTTGTTTACTTTTCTTTTAGTTTTTTTTTTATAAAAATGAAAATTAAGGGAAGTCATACTTAAAAAAAACAAATACTTTTTTCAAAAATTTAGCGGCATTCGAAAATAGGGGATTTTTGCATAAGGCTTAGAAGGAAACATGGTTTTTTGTTGTAAATTGTTGTTGCTGTTGTTGTCATCTAGATTTTGTGTTAAATAAAGAGCAGAGATCATCTCATTTACATAATTCTCTAGCAAATGGATTTAGGGATTTTTGCCAAGCCAATACAAATATTGATCATAAAAAGCCACGTTAAAGCTTAGACATTTTGTTTTATTTACCACCTTCATATTATTTTAACTAGAAGTTTAAATTGTCATCATCATTGTTACAAAAAAAATAATAGAAACAAAAAAGGACATTCTCTATTTGCATATTTTCGAAATGGAAGTCAAATGCTTGCTTTTTTTACAATTACAAAAAAATGCATCGTTTTTTTTATTTTATTATAACTATTACATACTTAAATACTTACAGCAATGTACTGATTATTTTGTGTTAAGGCCCGCCCAATTGAGGAACAAGTCAAAATATTTCTTTAAATATTTACAATTCTCACATAACCTACTTTTCCTTTTCTAAGAGTATTCGAACATTATTTTCCATCGAGTTAAAATAAAGATGGCAACACTGAAACTCGATTTTTACCGTAATGCCACTTTTATCTGACGTTAAACGTTACGTTTTGTCAGTGGGTTTAGCAAGAGTCTAATGTAAACACACTGTTATTACTTATCCACTTTCTCACGTGTTTACAAAGATATGTGTAACACTGGTCCATTTTACTTCGGAACCTCTTTTTCCCCATTTTTTTAGACGTTGGTGCTCGAAAAATGATTGATTTGTTGACAATTTCTTTGTAAATCAAGTCTATGTATTTCGATTGCAAAAATAATCGGAGTGTTATCGAGTTTAATTATAATGTAATAACGGCCAATTGTTGTGTGTTGCCGTTTTCTTTGCAAAACACGATTAACAGTTAACAAAGGCGTTTGCCAAAGAACAATATCTTAAGTGGGGTACACATTATCGATCGAGATGGGTATTAATCCCCAATTTCTGTTTATTTTTGTCAAATGCTCAATATCCTAAGTAGAGTACACATTATCGATTGTGATGGATATTATTCCCCAATTTCTGTTAAATGGGGTACACATTATCGATTGTGATGGATGTTATTCCCCAATTTCTGTTTGTTTTTGTCAAATGCACAGTCTCTTAAGTGAGGTACACATTATCGACCATGATGGATATTATTCCACAATTTCTGCTTGTTTTTATCAAATGCACAATATCTTAAGTAGGGTACACATTATCAATCGTGATGGATATCAATTTCCAATTTCTGTTTGTTTTTGTCAAATGCACAATATCTTGAGTGGGGTACACATTATCGATTGTGATGGATATTATAACCCGATTTCTTTTATTTTTTTAAATGCACAATATCTTAAATGGGGTACACATTATCGATGATCTTATCGATTATCAAGACAAACCTGATCGAAAGTGTGTACACACCTTGCAACCTAAGAAATTCATTCCTACCTTTTTTTTGTAAGAAAATGTTGTAAACGTGAAGGGAGAACTACAAATATTTTATTTGAAATTTTATTTTGGCCAAATATGAGGTTAGTTTTGTTCTAAATAAGAGAATACCACAAACAAAGTGAATTTTTTGAACATATTATTCATGCAAAGGTAGGAAGGTGGGATAGTTGAGGGGGTTAAGAGAGGAAAACAAAATAAATACAAATTGAAAATATACGGAAGAAGAATTTAACCTAAATGTTGGGGCCAAAGGAAATCGGCGCCCAAAGTGGAATCTCCAAAATACCCAAATTACAAACATAACAAAAATGACACCCAAATTCGGGAATAACAAACGTTGTAAATTGGCGCCTAATATAGGATAAGTATTTATGATACATAAACAAAATCATTTAAATATCAAAAGTAACATAACATAGCGCCCAAAAGCTAGACTGTTTTCCTGCTCGGCAAACAAGATTTGTGTGATACAATTGACCCAATGTGGGTCCTCAGTAATACGTAAAATTAAACATTTCAAAGGGTACTACCAATTATTTCTGTATTTTTTAACAACCAAATCAAAGTTTTTAATTTATATAAGTGGCGCCCACAGTGGAACATCCAACACACGCAAATTTCAAACAACGTGGGATAAATTATTATTTAAACTATTTTACCTCAAAAAGTCTCTTCTGATCAGTAAATAAGATTGTTGTGATATAATTGGCGCCCAATGAGGGTCCTCAGTAATGCCTAAAATTAAACATTTTAACGCGCGTAACCCTTTATTTGAGTATTTTTTCAAATTCAAATAAGTGGCACCCAAAGTGGAACCTCAAAAAAAAAAAAAACAAATTACAAACATATCCAAAATGATGCCTACATTGGGATAAGAAACGGGCCAAATTTTAAACAACATTTTAAGTTGGCGCCCAAGCATAGTTTGAGTATTTGTGATCCACTTTTAAATCTAACATAAAAAACGCGTATCGTGGAATTAACCTATTTTACCTCAAAATGTGTGTGATATAAGTGGAGTGGCGCCCAATGTGGGACCACAGCTAAACACGTAAAATTAGACATTTCAACAGTCTTTTTTAACCTTTTTTCAAAAGTATTAAAGTAAAAAATTTTTTTTTTTGTAAAATTTGTTAATTTTGTATCTAAAATTAAAAAAAAAAATGCTAAACATTTAGCCAAGATTATTAAAAGAAGGAGAAGAAAAGAAAAACTTCTGTTTAAACCAATCAAACAACAAGTCTATTTAGTTTCGTTTTTAAAGAATACAAAAACAAAATCCTAAGTAAATTAGAAGAAAAATACTACAGAATTTCACTACAAATATAACAATTATATATTGGTATTATTATTATTTTTTTGTTTTGGTTTTTGAAAAATAACATGTGTTGTTAATAAATTTATCAGATATAAAAAAAAATCCAAGTAAGAATATATAATTTACATTTTATTTTGAATTATTTTTTTCTTTCTAGATTTTTAGGTATTTCCTTATAAACTGTAGTTGAGACACTGGTAAATAGGGTTTTGAAGAAGAAAAAAGTAAGGGTAAAAAGTAAATCCTACTTTTTTCTTCGAATGAAATCATAAAGGACGAGATTGTTTAGAAAATTAATTTTTGGGCTATTATTTTTTTTTTTTCAGTGTAATGTTGTGTAGTGTGTGTTAGGTTGGTATTGGAGATGGGGAAAGTATTTTCTTTTTTTTTCAAATTAAAGAAAGGATACCGGAAAGAGCCCCTTCTTATTTTTCAAAAACCAATTTTCCCATCTCCAATAAATAACAAAAAAAGTACAAATAATATTTTATCAATAATAATAACAATAATATAGAAGAATTATAAACTTACAAGTTGCTTAGCTATCATCAGTACAGTCTTGAGTGAAAATTGACGGTTGCATATATTGAAGAGATCTTCTAAAGACAGTCCCAATAATTCTAATACCATGGCATTGTAACGGCCACTACAAGTGCCCAAATGATAGACACGCGGTATACCCTCTGGACAATTATCTATATGTGTGATGATAACAACAACAACAACGACAATCATGATGATGTATAGTATATTGGATATAGATAATTACAAGTATATATGTATAGATATATAGTTTAAGAAAAATATATATATATTTGTATATATTAACAAGCGAGTAATATTTTAAAAATATTTTATATTTTCTTGATGACATTTTCTTTATTTTTGAAAATATAATATATTTTTAAAATATTAACAAACAATAAATCATGTTGATACATATTTATACATATATATGTAGTGGAATCATTTACAACTAAATTTTTGGCTTGAAAATATGTATAAAACCATATATATATATTTTCAAATCGATTGGTATTAGAATTTATTGTGTGTGTGTAATGTAAAATTCAAAATTTTCTGGAGTGTACCAAAGAAGATCTATCATAAGGGAAAGTTGGGTTATGAGATTTATTGGACAATATATTGTACAATCAAATTATATAATTTATAATGCCTTACATAGATGACAGGGATATGATTTAATGGCTGAATTCATGTCATCATCTTCAGTTGACATAGTTTAATACAATTTATTACATGACAAAAGAATAAGTTAATATATTTCCTTAAAAAAACATTGGACAATAAATTTCCGAATGTTCCTTATTTAACATTTAACCAAATGAGCAGTTTTATTGCATTTTTGGGTTTTTATTCCCATTATAACACCATTTTCCCGTTTCGATTTAGTGTGCCCTAGTTAAACATATCGGTTCAAAAACGAATTCGTGTACTCTATTACACAAACGTAGTAATAACACCCTGTATGCAACTTTGTCATATATCGATTTTGCTCACCCTATGTGGCTGGCGCATAACGATCTTGTGATCCCTATCAATGCAAAGAGCCAAAGAGTGAGTTAGGTGATATTAACGCCGTACTATTTTTATATCAATAGAAAAAAAATATAAAATAGTACGGCGTTAATATCATCTAATCCGCTCTTCGTGCTCTTTGCATTGATATGGCCCACAAAGCCGTAATGCGCCACACACATAGGTTGAGCAAAATCGACTTATGACAAAGATTATATACAGGTCGTTATTACGCCGTTTGTGGAATAGAGTAAACGAAATCGTTTTTGGACCGACATGTTATACTAGGGCACACTAAATCGAATCAGGAAAATGGTATGATAATGGAAAAAAATAAATGCAATTAAACTGTTAAGGGAAACTAACAAAATTTATTATTTAATGTAATTAAGAAAATATGTATTACAAATAAATATAACAAATATAAATAATTTTTTTTTTATTTTCAAATAACTTCACTACAATTTTTGCTTGTTTTTTTTGTTAATGAAAAATAACTAATAAAAATTAACATTTAATCTAAATATGTGTTTGTGTATTTGTTTTCTAATAAAAGTATTGTTTTTATTTTCTTGTAAATTCATTTAAATTATTTAACAAAAAAAATATAGAGAAGAAAAAAGTTTAAGCACCGACCTCCGCGCGTAAAATATGCTAGAGAAGATCTTTTTCGTTTTTAAATATGTAACAATGTACACATAATATGAATATACATATATAAAAACTTTTTATATATGCATGTTTTGTGTAGGGAAGAAGAAAAAAAACGAGACAACAACTTTTAAGGTGTTCATTTTTAATTGAAGGAAAATTTATTAAGTTTTTTTCGTTCGCTTCGTTCAAACAAAGGTGGTAACGGTGCAGCAAAAAAAAAAAAAAGATATTCTAAGGGGGAGGGGCTCTGTTTTTTTAGTTTTCAATGATTCTTTTTATTTGTTTCTAAGTTTCTAGTGGGTATTAACGTCAACAAAATTTTCATTTTTAAAGCGAAACAAGTTAGTAACTTTATATAATAGGGGTATATATATTTTATATTGGTATATATATGTATAGAATAACAAAAATATATATAAATATATTTCGTTGAAATAAAATTAAAGCAAGTTTTTTAAAAAAAGATTAGCACAAAGGGGGTTAGGTCGGCGGATTTTTAAGTAAACCAAAAAAAAATAATTTTGATTTGAATGATTTTTTTTTTAGAGGAAAGGATAGGAATAAATAAAGAACTCGAAATAAGGGCATTTCATTTTGAAGAGAAAAGATTAAAAAGAAAAGTAGTTACAATGGGAATCAGCAAATCTAAATTTCGTCGATACTCAAGTTAGAGAGAGAGAAAAAATTATCTAAAAGAAAAAAGGGTCCACCATTTTCCTAATTTTCTTAAAAAAAACATTCTTTTAGAGAATCTTAAATAATATAAACTATATTTTTGCAATATTAGAAAACTTCAAAAATTCTCTTCAAATTGAAATGCATTTTCGTGTTTTGAACATTTTTGATTTAAATAAAAAAATCTTATTTGGTTTTAAATTAAAGAAAAAACACAAAAAGTTACTTCTAAAACATAAACAAAAATAATAATAGTAATAATGTAAATTGTTCCAAAATTGACTTACCATGTGATCCTAATAGTTTATAAAACCTATACTCTAAGTGTAGTTGTGGAGCCTTTGACTTCATTGGCTCCATTTTTATTGCTACATGTTCATTGTTGTACAGATTTTTGCCTATAAAAAGGAAGAAAAACGCATATGTTATTATTTATTTAAAAAAAATAAAATCTTCAAAAAAAAAAAACGCTTAAACGTCACCACAAAATCGATGGCAACCATGAAAGAGAGTGAGAGCGAAAGAAATCAAACCCTCAACTCCACACGCACGTTTTTAATGTGAGGTTCATCATTAAACGAATGTGAGATCCCTATACAAACAATACACAACTTGCTATAACCAGGTTCCGACGATGTAAATTTTTGATGAAGACAACATTTTGATGTATTTTGATATTTGAAAAATAGTTTTCCGATACAAATCACTTGAACTTGCACAGAGATCATGCATCACACTAAGACATTACCAGCTATGGGCCTATGTTACTCCCAAAAATATGGGGAGACAAAAAAGAGAGCGCAAATATGATTTATTGTCCGAATTGATTGTTTGAAATGACAACACAAATACACTGGAAAACGTTGACGTTCATACCTGCTGGATTAATACTCTTTTCGGCATATGGTGTTGTTGGAAAGAAACACATGCGACGACCTGTAGAGTATTTTCAATGAAAGAAGAATTTTTTAAAAATTGTCATTTAAAAAAAATTACTGACATCATGCAAAATTATGTTTTATTATTGGGATTTTCCAATCGTGGAATTTCCCAATGATTTTGTACTCATTTTTGTGGAAAAAAATATGAATCTTTAAAAATATTTTCCAGATGACATGTGCTATAAATAGCAAAAATAATTGAAAAAAATGACAATAACAAATTATTGTTGTTGTCTTTGGCTAAGAATTGGAATATGTTTTTATTTCTCTTTTTTTTTGGGAAATATAAATTTTTGCCTGGATGAATTACTCGGTGGTGAATAAAAATAACTTCCAGGAAATAAGGAAGTCATCTATTTTCTAAAAAAACGTAGATATGTTTCATTTCCTCTGCGAGGCCTTTAAGGTGGGAAAACATAAAGCGCTTATTTGGCTGGCTTAAGTCATCGGCTGGCTTTTTGGTAGATGAACAAAGGAGTTTTAGGTTGACTTAGTTCGATTTTGGCCCTAGGCTCCTTTGTTATTTTTCGAAGAAGCCAGCCGATGATTGACGTCAGTAAAAACTTGACGATGACTTAAGCCAGTCAGATAAGCGCTTTATGTACTCTCACCTTAACAAAGGAGCGTAAGGACAAAATCGAACTAAGTCAACTTAAAACTCCTTTGTTCCTCTACGAAGAAGGAATCAAAAAGGTGAAAATACATAACCTTAATTCATTCATCGTTCCCTTACAATTTGACATTAATATATGCGACGCCATAATGCCAAGCTGCTTATGTATTTTCGCTTTAAGGTATTCGATTATTCACTAGATATCTTTTATATTCCCTGGGAGGCTTAAAAACCCATCACAATTTTCTTAGAAGACCTAGAGGGGTCATGTAGTACGTGGAATATTCCCGTATAGCCTTGAGAAAATGTGGTGATCTTCTATGACCCAGAGAAGACATAGAGCTCTCTCCCCACATTTTTGTTGTTGTTGTCAAAATTTCTTAAAATTCAGAATTTTTGTTTTCTGCTACTCACCTAACCGCAATTCTCCAAAATTACCACAGCCAATTTTTTTACCGACACGAAAATTTGGTCCGACCATAAGGACCCCGGTTGAGGTGCTTACTGATTGGCGGGCGGAATACATATTGCCGGAGCTGACTGCGTTACGTGCAGGAGCTGTGCCGCTACCCCCGCCACCGCCTCCTCCTCCCCCGCCGCCGCCTCCACCGGCTCCGGATGTCCCTGCAGGCTGTGTTCCACCACCACTGAAATATAAACGGAACATTAATGAACAATGAAATAGAGAAAACTAAAACAAAAATTAAAAGAAAAAGAAAAAAAACAATTATTTTTGAAATACCAACATGGCCACATTACATGGCAAAACGGATTTTTTTACCAATATTTTTTGAATTTTTGCAAAAGTTTAGAAGACATTTTCAATGAAACAAATAAAAACAAGAAAACTTTCAATGGACGGAGTTTTCCAACTCCAAAGCCAGGTACTCCTAATTAAAGTCTCAAGACAAAGAAAATGGCTGGCTTGGGAGTTAAGAAAAAACGAAACAAACACACACAAACATATTTTCATGTATTTTTTGGAAAATACCCACATTTTCTTTGACGTTATATTGTTGTTATTGCTATCGTTGTTGTTGTTGTCGTCACTGAAAACCAATTCTTGTCGCAACATTTAAAAACAAATTAAAACTGCAAAAATTTTGACGGCCGAAGCTTGCTCTCCCTCTCTCCCTTTTTCTCTGTGTGGACAGACAACAAACTGAAAAAAAGTTCTTAATAAATATTTGTTTGTACAACAACAACAACAACAAACAATTGTGTTTTTTATCTATTTATTGGCATTATGTCAGCTGTCAGTAGTTGTTGCTGCTTTTTGGCATTTCTAATTGAATTATTGGAATTTGAAGGGGAAAGTACCCGACAACAAATTCCAGACGAGAACACAATCAAGACAACACCATTAAATATTTTGACAGTTTTAACAACAATTAATAATAATAGTTATGACGTGATCGCTTAATTTGGGGCAAAGGAATTTGTTTACATTTCAAAACCATAAAAATCAAGTGTCATATTTTGTTAGACTGGGCAAAAAGACTACTTTTGACAATAAAAGGTCTGTTCCAGGACTGCAAAAATGTAAATGTTTTTACTAACACAGTCAGTAATATAGGTCTCTTAAGGGAAGATTATTAATTTATTTTTTTATTAATTTACTATAATAATTTCTTATTTTCAATTTTAATATTTTTCATAAAAACTTCACCTATTTGTATTCTCTATCGTTCTCTTGCTATTTTTTGTTTATAAAATTACATATATAAATGATTCTACTCATAAAATTCGCATTTTGATTCTCATGACATTGAACTACTTTTATTTCAATTGACGTTTAGCACTCGACGATTGAGAGAGAGCTGGAAATGTGGGAGGTGGGGAATCAAGACCTTAAAAAACCAATACAATTGCATTGAGTTAATATTTCTCTCTACTTTCAGAAAGAGAGAAAGGTCGTCGCCCAGAATCTTAATTTCTAATTCTCATGCAATCCACCAAAATCACTCCTCCTAAATACAAAACTAAAATGTTCTCACAGACAGGTGCATAAACGTGGGGACACAGACGCTAAACTCCCTTCCCCTACTCTTGATTTGAGGCCAATCGTATTCCAGCCTTTTGTGTTATTGTTGTTATCTAAAGTAGTTAGGAGAAATGTATTGCGTTTAATTGCTTTGTTACATTGCCAGTCAATTATGAAATATTCATTGAATTGGGCGTCTGGCGTCAAACAAAGCTCACATTGCACGTCTTACTCTCTCTCTCTCTCTCTCTGTCTACCTCACAATACAACTCTTTTGATATAAAGCCAGCGCCTGCCATCATATATTCAATGTTGTACCTTTTATTATGAATTGTTGTGTGTGTGTGCTTCATGTCATGTTGCCACGATACGTCTCTGTTTGATGACTCATTGCAAGAGCAGAGCCAGTCAGTGGCAGTAGCAGCGGCGCACCGCTGCTGCGGCGTCGTTAGTAACAACGGCAATTGCTTTTGATTGTTTACTTGACGCCACTCACAGCGTCGCTGCTGTCGGCATTTTTGTGTGTGTAGCCGTCGTCACACACAACAGCAATGCTGTGCTGCTCGACGTTTTGCGTTTGGTGTTTATTTATTTCTTTGTCATATGTTTTTGTGGTTTATTTACTTTTTTTGAGCAGCTGACTATATTTTTGTGTGTGATAACCGAAAAAGTGATCATTAAAAGTTGATGTAGGGATTTTATGGGAATAAAAAGTTAAGCTCCAAATGTGCATATAGGATAAGAAATTAATATTTTTATTTTCAATGTCTTGAGGAACAAATCGTTAACTTCAATTAGACTAAATTGTGTAAATGTGTTCTATGGTCAAAAAATGGATCATAAAAGTCGTATGTAGATCGGAATCATTTCCATGAAATATTTTCCATTTTATGAATGAGAAAGAAAGGAAATCATTACATTAAACTACTCTCTTCTAAAAGCCAATACTTGAGTAGAAAAAAAAATGTCAGTGTTTCCTATTATGGAAAGAAAGTCCTATATAGCTCGGCAGCATTTTGAAAATATTTATGGGAAGAAATAATCTTTTTTTCTCTATATTTTTGATGCTTAAATAAATGATTAAAGTGAAATGTGAAAATAAAGGTACGGGAAGCAAGTGAAAATTTGAAATTAAGATGGCAATCCGTCAATATCAAGATTTCAGCCAATCAGAAGCTGGCCATTATTCACTAGTTTTATTTTTTTGCCAAATTTCTGTAGCAAAAAGTAGCCATAGAGACAAAATCTTAAATTTGATTGCAAATTATTTTTCTAATACCGTTTTGAGTAAAACAGCGATTTTTTAGTAAAAAGTTGCAAAAATGGTAAAACTGAAAATGTCTTTCACGCAAAGAGATAAAATATAGTCTTCTATAGATCGGAAACATATTGGAAGTGTTTTTTGGGAAAGACCAGTCTTCCGTAGATCGAAAACGTCGTAAATGCCTAAACAAAGTTTAACAGTCATTAATATAAAGATCTCGAAGAACTAAAGAGTTTGTTAGAAGACTTTTTCTATTTAAAAAAGACCCAGCGAAGGAAGACGTCTGTAAAAAGTACTTTTACTTTTCAGTAACAATACATAGAGTAACAGCTCATGGCAGAGACATGTTAATATAAAAACCACAATTACAGAAACGAATAACAAATTAAAATTTGAAAAATCAAAAATTTTGGTTTCAAAACTCTATTCCATAGACTCTTTCAAAAATTTGCATATTGCCTTGGCGGTTAAAATCAGTTAACATTGGCAACTATGTTGTTGTGATATCATAACAACAGGGGTATTTTCACAGGGTTGCCATATTTTGACTCTGTCTTGTTCTATCTTTATATTTCTATGTCTTTGAAGGGACAAAGTATAGTCGTTTATAGATCGGATACATTCAAAAGATTTTTCTTTTGAATGAAATAGTCTTCTATAGATCGAAAACGTTATTAAAGTCGTCTATAGGAAAATATCGAAAAAAGAGTTTAACAGTCATTGATATAAAGATATAAAGAAGAAGACCTCTCGTAGGAAGACGTCTGAAAAAAGTAGCACAAGAGAGACCATTTTTGTAAGTGTTCTGTTAAATTTGACCGCAAGTTTTAATACTTTTTCGAATACCGCAACGATTTTAGGAAAAAATTTGCAAAAATGCTAAAACTAAAAGATTATTATTTTGGGAAGAAATAGTCTTCTATAGATCGAAAACGTTATTAAAGTCGTCTATAGGAAAATGTCGAAAGAAAATAATTAATATTAAAACCCCGTTGGGGAACCTTTTTATCTTAAGAAGACTACTCACGGGAAGATGCCTGTAACCAAAATCAGTAAAATAGTGCATCAATTTTTTTAAACGTTAAATAAATATTTAAAAATTACTTTAATAGGCTAGCCTTCTCTAGTTTTGCTGCCAAGTTCATTTATATGTACAATTCCAAGCAAAGGAAAAATCGCAATTATCGATAATGTTCGATAATTCTTTCGATTACTTGATACAGAAACGCAATCCTGAACATTGTTATATCTTCAAAAACCTCGTGAATTGTTGTTTTCCTTCCGTGCAAATTTCTTCTCCCCATCTCTATCTATAAAAGTCCTCCAAAAGGTTCCTTTACCTATCCCTCGGATGCTAATTGATCTGTTAACAAAAAATATATATTTCAGCACTTATTATTATTCTTAAACAATATGGACAGCTGTAAACTGTCATTATACATTCATTTCCATATGTTTTGTTTTGCATTTTTGTTCTTTTTTTATTATTTGTTGTTATTTTTATAAAAAAAAAATACCGGTTTTCTTAATGTCTGCATTGTTGTGGGGTGCTGGTGTTGGGTGCTAGTGGTTGTTATTGTTTATTCATAACCCGGCGATCCATTTTGACGTTGTTGCCTGTGTGTGTCTTTTGTGTGTTGTGGCCGGTCGGCCGGTCATTGATCACAGAATAATGTGTATGCATGAGAGGAAATGTTAAAGAGAGAGAGAGAAAGAAAAAAAAAACAAAGTGCCACAACAAAGAGGCAGATACATAAATGAAACAAAAAATATTAAGAAAAGAAAGAGTTGCTTGGTTGGGTGACGATGAATCACAAAAGACTCAAGTAAATTTTTTTACAAGAAATATTAACAGGGGAAAAAGTTTAAGGGAAGAGAAAACATAAATGAAAGATTCTCAAGAATTCTGAAATTTTATAGTTAATCTCATAAAATTTAAATATATTCCTGGATTTTAGAACTTATGGCTCATTTCTGTGAATATTTGGAATGAACTATTTTAGAGGGGAAAAGAAAATCTTTAATTTTCCTATTTCCGTTTTTATGAATCAATATCTTCCAAGTGTCATCCCCTTTTACTTTGACGTTATCTTTCTAAAGACTTTAAATATTACTTGGTAAACATATTGTCACACATTTATAAACAATTTGTATAAAATTGTTATTTCGTCTATCACCCATTTACAGACGTCATCACACACAATTATGATAATTTGTTTTTTTTTTGTTATTCTCTTTCTCTTATCTCAATGACATTTCCCCACAATACACAAATAAGGCCAAGTAGTTGTCATTGCCATTTTATTGCCGCCGCCGCCGTCGACAACATCACATCGCCTACAATTACATTCTCATGAAATTATAATCATTGAAAATTGAGAATGCAAATGAAAACCGTG